ACTTCTCCCCCAGAATTTGGTTTCAATTGGTCAATGTGTGGGGTTCAGCGTACCCGGATTAAAGGAGAATTTAATACGGGATACCCTGCCCACAAAATACAACGCAAATTTCAAGAATGAACAACACGATAATGAACGTTTATAGAAAATAGAACATTGTATATTTATTATCTTGTGAATAGGGTAAAAAAGATTAATGTTTTAGTTCGTTTAAGCAAAAATGATTTTGACAGAAAATGTCTGTGTTCGCTGTCTTTCAACAGAGTAACAGAGTAATGTCTGTTTCTTTTGTTTTTGTATATGTGAAAGGAAAAAGGGGCTATCAATTTAAGTTGAAAAAAGAGTGTGAATGAGGAATAAAGATAAAAGGAAAATGTACATATGAATTGTTTTTGAGTCATTTGTAAATTTGTTGTTGTGGTTGTCCTTTCCTAATTCACTTTCGGCTCTTAGTGTCGGGTTGAGTCAGCAATGGAATTTACTGTCAATCTTCTGTGATCTTTGCGCCCTTCTGATTCGGCGACTGACTTGAAACTGTATTTATTGTTGACTTTTTTTTCACACTGGCTCGTTATCTTTTTTTGGTTTAGCAAATCGCCTCCTTTCATTGGTCAGAAAATTAATTTCACACCTTATTGCGAAATCTGTTTTTAATCGTTTTCATCCGATTTTGCGGGTGTGCAAATCTACTTTGTGTTTTTTAGTCACTTGTTGGAATGATATCGGATTTGTATCCTATAAATGTATGGTTATTTTAAAGGGTGTGATGGCGTAACAGAAGTCACAGAATTTTATGTAGACATTTGGTACTTCTGTTAAATTATATTTTTCATACCTAAAGCATAAAACAATAGATTTTCTTCAATGTGATAAAATTTCTTATTCCTATAAATGTTATTTTAATGGCTACACATGTTTGAGTAAACATCCCAGTTCAACACTTTCCAAGCTAGATTGTCAATAGCAGTGCTAGATTTACGGCCAAAATGTTCAGAACGGCATTGTTTTCATCAGAAAAGTAGATATAATTTTTTTATGAAAGTTGTTTTATATTCTATAATTTTCACAGACAATAAATACGATATTAATTGTTATTATTTGAGATTTTGGTGTAATTTGAGAGGATAATACAAAAGTTATGGATTATTTAGTGATTTACTGCAAAACCCATGGCGGCCAAAATGATCAGAACGGTTGAAAAAATAACAAAATAATGACAGAGAATACTGGAATTTTTTAATATTTAGTGTGAAGTCCTTTAGCTTCAATCACACTTTGACATCTTCGATTTCAATTTCTTGCTGGGTGATCTTATTCCATTCTTCCTGAAGGGCATTCCATAATTGCCCGGTTGTATTAGGATTTCTGGCTTTCGAACATTCTCCTAGAATATTCCACACATTTTCAATAGGATTGAGATCTGGGCTTTGAGCAGGCCAATCCATAGCAATAATCTTTTCAACCTTGAGGAAGTTCATGACCATCTTTGCCTTGTGACATGAGGCATTGTCCAGCATGAATATGGGTGGTCGCTTAGTTGAATTTCTCAGCACAGGCAAGACATGATCTTTTACAAGTTGTTTATAAACTCCTGCATTTACCTTTCCATGTAATCGCACCAAAGTGCCCATTCCATCTCTAGATATCATCCCCCAAACCATGACACTTCCTCCACCAAATTTAACACTAGTCTTAAGGCATTTGGGCGACAATTTTTCACCTACTTTTCGACGAACATACCTTTTCCCATCGGACCCAAATAACATAAACTTAGATTAATCATTGAAATGCACCGTTTGCCATTTTTCTTGAGACCACAACACGTGTTTGGTTGCAAAGGTAAGACGACACTTTTTATTTTTTTTTTATTCTTGGAGCTGATCAGTGGCTTCACTGCAGGTGCTCTTGCTTGTAGGTCATGTTCAACTAAACGATGAGACACAGTTTTTCGAGATAAAGTTTTCTTCATTTCCCGAGAAACAGCAGCAGCAGTTTTAAATCTGTCCTTTTTAACCAACTTTACCATGGCACTATCTTCTCTGTTGGTCGTTTTTCTTGGCCTACCTGTAGAGACTTTCTTGCTTCACACGAACCACAATCATCGTAGACCTTAAGAATACCGTGAACAACACTTTTTGACTTGTTAACAATCTTTGCAATAGACCCAATACTTAAATTATTCTTCTTTCGAAGCTTAATAATCTGCTGACGAATTGGTAACGGAGTAAGTGGCATTATATTAACAAAGTACACTGCAGATATTCTTACTAATGTTTAGTAAACGAACCGTCACGTAAACAAATTAAAAAAAATTAGAGTTCGCCGATTAAAACACTGAGTAAAAAAAGCAACCGTTCTGATCATTTTGGCCACCATGGGTTTTGCAGTAAATCACTAAATAATCCATAACATTTGTATTATCCTCTCAAATTACACCAAAATCTCAGACAATAACAAATAATATCGTATTTATTGTCTGTGAAAATTATAGAATATAAAACAACTTTGATAAAAAATTATATCTACTTTTCTGACAAAAACAATGCCGTTCTGAACATTTTGGCCGTAACTGTATGTGTTACTATGGGCATCAGCCTAGGATCCACAAGACTAAAAGGACCCCCAAGCACTTTCTAGTCTTGGGTAGTAAAAAAATTAAAAAGAAATATATAAGAACAGAATAGATATGTTGAATTTGAATCCAAGAATCTCAAGGTAATAAGGCCCTTCATTCTAGATAAATTTCTGTAAGAGGTAAAATTCGGATAAAAAATATGAAGTTGCTAATGAAATAAATCAGAGGAGTTCCAAAATCATAAAAAATCTCTATCTATAAAAGGCAGGATACATGTGTGTGTGTGTGTGTGTGTGTGTGTGTGTGTGTGTGTGTAACAAATGCACAGCCGCAATTTTCGACAGATTTGCACCAAAATTTAAATGCACATGCTCCAAGTTAGCGGGAAGGCCAAAGACCAACTTTGCATTTCCCAACTCCCATCGATAGTGGAAATAATCGATTTTTTCATGCTTCTACAGCACTTTTCATGTAGTTGCGGCCATTTTGTACTAGCCAGGTGAGAGCCAACAGCTGACTGGACACGAATGTTAACTAGCATGCTAGCATGCAAAAAAAAATCGATAGCTGCATTCGTCACAAGTGAGAAAAATTTAAATCTGCATGGCACTTTACTCCAATTGGCTCATTCCCTGCTTAAACTCAAACGTTGATTCTGATTCACGCAGAACTGGGTTGGGTGTGAAAAAGTATTTGTTAACATTCTTTTTTCATTCAGTTTTTCCAGTTCTGAGTCCTTTTTTTAGCTGATTGTTTTGTGTTCATTTTGTTTTTGTTCTTTTTTCGTAACAGATTTAATGTTTACTATAGAGCTTAGAAAAAATTTGCGGTGTGAGATAGGCAAGAAGTAAGGCATGTAGCAACATCAGCACAGCAAAGGGCACTCCTTTAAAGGCAAGGAAGGGCAAAAATATTTTAAGCCAAGTGATAACGATTACTGTTTGAGTTGTACGATTTTTTAATCAAGCCCGGGCAACGCGATGCCATGCTGCTCGTTTTAATTAAATTGTTTCATTTTTTACAACAAAAAAGCATCATCTAAAAATATATCCAATTTTTTTATAGACACAGGATGGAAGGTTGAAGAGAACTCCAAATTCTATTAGCTCAGGGACACCTTAATGCTTAAATCTGACCCTGACCAAATGTAAAAAAAAAAAAAAAAATGTACCACTTTTAAGAAATTCAATCTGCCTTCCCCTCCCACTTTTATTTTTATTTTCTGGGTAACCACCTTTTATTTCTTCATTTACCTGTATTTATCTCTTTTTGATACACTCTAATCTTATGTAGGTCATAGCCATGTTTCTCTGATAGTTAAGCAAGGTTATCCAATGCCAGAAACTAGAGGGTAACTTGATGCCTTTTATTTTGTTCAGGTGATTGGTGGGGGTCTGTAATATGGGTTACATTATTGTGCTGATAATTTGGGGTATCTCTTGTATTTTAGTTATAAATTCTTTCAATGTAGTGTTAAATTTTACTGAGCAGGACTATTTTATTTATTTTCATATTCTCTGATGGTTTACAGAGTCAATGACTTCTAAATCTGAGGATTTCTTTTTATGAACTCTTCTGCCATCATCATGACATGATAGTTATTTATATCAGTACCAGGCAAAATTCCAGACCATATAATTGCAACTAATTTATGTATTATGATATTTTAATTTTAGCATGGGCATTACAGCCTGTCATTAACTCAGATAAATATTGGACCATTCCATTTTGTGAAGAAAGTTAGAAGAAAATGATATAACAGAGGTGTTATTTGATTCTAGTGAGTAAAAGAAAGCATACATAATACAAAAGAAAGAGAAAGTAGTGATTTCACATTGTCCATATATTTTTTCTTTCAGGTACAGATCGCTCAGGAGTTTGTTGTATTGCAATTTGGGTGCTGCTTTAGGCTTCTTCAGTTTCCGTAGTTTCACTCTTAGTTTACATATAACAGGGTGATGGTCACTTCTGCAGTCAGCACTTAGGTAGGTTTTGCATTCCTGAATCTTTTGTTGATGGTTATTTAGTCAAGTGTAAAACTTCAAAAACATTTCATTAAAAAGTCACATGCCATAACTTGAGAATTATCAAGTTTAAGATGAGAAATAATACTCAGCATTGCATAAGTGGAGTTCTTTTCCAGTCTTCTATACTGATTGATTTGTTTTTTTTAAGGTTTATCAACCCTAAGTGGGTTATTTAAAGTTGAAACCCAATTTGGATTGTAGGAGGCTGTTTACAGTACCCAGTTTTCCCAAAAAGTCCCCCCATCTAAATACTATCCAGGCTTAACACTGCCAAACTCCAGTGATCAAATGAGAACCTGTTTCCGCATGATTTTGCCATAAATCCTTCACTGTATAACCCTCTCTTATTTCTTAATCTTTTCGTGTCGTCACTAAGAATTGAACCTTCAGCCAATCAATTACTTTGATATTTTTCTTATTGCATCATGATACATACATGCAATGAAAAAAAAAAAAATACCGGAATGGCAATTCTCTTTAAACTTGTAGCAGTAGGCTTTGGCTATAAAGAGAAAAAAAAAAGAGAAAAAAGAAAGAAAGAGGAGGAAGAGGAGAAAGAAAGGAAGGAAGAAAAGAAAAAAAGAAGGAAAGGAAGGAAAGAAAGGAAGGAAGAGAAAAGGAAGGAAGGAAGAAAGGAAGGAAGGAAGGAAAGGAAGAAAAAGAAAAGGAAAAAAGAAAGGAAGGAAGGAAGGAAGGAACGAAGAGGAGAAAGAAAGGAAGGAAGGAACGAAGAGGAAGAAAGAGAAAGAAAACCAATTCCTGTCAGAAGCATACATTTTTCTTTAGGACTCCTCTTCCATTCAGGTCAGTTATTAATTTCACTGTTAAAGAAAATAAAAGAAACAAGGATAGCAACTCAAATACATGACCCCACGAAAAATAACATTTATAGTCATAAGAAATAATGTGGGATAAAAAAAAATCTCTTCAAATTATAGAAAATATATGAAGCTGAATCAATAAGTCTGCAGCCTAACATGTCATTGAATTTAAGTGGGACTTCTTCGATATGCCGTGTCCCTTCAGGACACAGGCAATCATGGCTTTCCACAATTTCCTGTCCTTCGTAGCTCTTAATAAATTTTGCCTTTCTGTTATTTCTCCTAAACCCTGTTCCGACATCCATTTACTCAAGCTCACTAATTATGTTACTCATTGTTTTCCTCTGGCTCATATACACTTTTCAAGATTTGTCAGCAGGAACACTCATTGAATTTTTTATCTTTCTCAAGTAGTCTTTCAAAAAACTGTATTCTAGAACTTAAGTATATCCGTTAGGCTGAACATGTTTTCTTTCTTGAAGGCTTACGGCCGTATCGTATTGAAACACCAGTTCCCCAAAGTTAAGCAACGTTGAGCCTGGTCAGTATAACTTGTAGAAAACAAATCAATCTTCTTTCTTGAAACTGTTTAATGTGATCTTCTGTAGTATATATTCATAAGATCTCCACCCATATCTCTTTCTTATTCTTGTTTTTTTTATACTGTTAATTCATCCAATACAGGCCTTATGAACCAGTCAAAGTAGAGTGTTACTGAGTGAAAGTGTTGTGGGGAAAGGAGCAAGTAAGAAGTGAATATTATGAGGATGTATAGGATAAGCTCTTCAAGTCCATACACAAGTGATATCTAAGATTGTAATTTTCAAGGAAGCCTCCTTTGGGAGTTCCATAAAGTAATAGTTCTGAGGAAGATGTCTGAGCGGAACTTACTTCTTATCAAAGGAAAACAAAGAGAATGGGGATAGCTTGCCATTGTGAACATCGTATGGCAGATCCTAGCAGTGGTGGTTTGAGTTGGTGGAACTAAGGAGTGTAAATGTCTGAACAGCTGCTATAGCAATGGAGTAGTGAGAGGTTAGTAATGTTTTATCTGTGGGATAAGGTGGGAATAATTAATCATCCACAAGGCAGCACCAACCCAAATATGGCAGGTGAACTCTGTCAAGGCTTGGCAGCACCAACCCAAATATGGCAGGAATACTCCATTCTTGGACTAGATCAGACTCTTGTAGAACAGTAATAGTTAGATATTTTCTGGAGTGATTCAAGAAACTGAACCTTCTTCCAACATCCTTCACAATGACATGAATATATGAAGTCAGGAGTCTTGATGAGACTATGACCTCTGAGGAAGATCAATGATGCACTTCAGAAAATTTAACAGTTTTTGAATAAATATAAACTTATATGAATAAATATAAACTTATATACCGGTTATCATCCAAATAGTCTTTAATGAATAACACCGCTGTATATTTTTTTTATTTTTAGTAGTAGTAATTTTAATCAACATTGTCACTATCCGTCTCACACTGGGATAGCAGAAACATATTATAATGATACTAATGGTAATTATTTACATTGTTCAGACTGTTGTCCTAATTTTGATCATATTCATGTTTTGGCCATAGTAAAACAGCCAAAATGAGCTGTTTGTATAACTTATTCAAGTAATTGGAATTTTGAACTGAACCCTTTATTTTGGGGTAGATTGTTCTCATTCCACACCTCTTCCTGATGTCTCGGTTATCTCCCTTTAACTCAACTCTCCAAGTATTTGTTCAACACTGCAGTAGCCAGGTATTGAACTCACTACTCTTTGAGTCAAGTCACTAGATCCAACCAATGCGTTACATTTACTGTACATTTAATTTAACAAGTTTCTAAAAATGTGAGAATTAAATTAAATTTTTTCCCTTTTATGACTACTGTGAACATTTGTGCTGACAAGAGATGGTTGACTTGAATAAAAACATAACCTTTGTATAGTTTCTTTATTAATTTAATCTGAACTTGTGACAGCTTACAAAGGTGGGGACATGAGATTTTACTTCCTTATAATGTTCTCTTTATTGCATTCAGTTTCTATAGAGATAACCAAGAATCATATTTTCATGAGTAAAACTGCCTCTGCCTTTCGGCTTGAACATAACCTTTCTATACTGTATATATTCTCAGAGCAGGATTAACTTGTGTAAATAGTTCACAAATTTAATTTGAATTGCCTTAAGTGTTAAAACTTGCAAATCAATTCCTTGTGGAAATGGTTAATTAAACAAAAATATTGACAAAAATTAATAACAAACAATTGAAGACATCAAGAAATTTTTAAAAGATTTTTTTAATATCAAATGAAAGTACATTTTGATGAAGAGAATAAAATGATTTCACAAGTTAAAAGAAACACACACACACACATATATATATATATATATATATATGAAAATATATTTCAATTGAGCACTGTTGAGTGACAAGCTAATTCTATAAACAGCCACCTGCGCTAATGCAAAGCTCTTCAGTAAAATGAATTGAGCCCTAGGGCTGATTGGCATTTGTTCATATTCGTAAAAACAATATGCTAGATCATTCTGTTAAATGAAGATAGCTCAGTGGTAGAAACTCTGACTGACACCAAATCTGTTGGATTTCAATCCTGGCTTGAGGTATTCGGATGTCTAGTCACACTGAGGAGCTGTGATACAACAGAACAGAACTGTCTGTGAATGACACACACACATATATATAACATAAAAAATTGAATCAGACCAGGAAACAGTAGTATTAAAAAGTGGTCAATACACATGTGAAAAAATAAAAGTAAAAATAACATGTGGAGCTTTTAACTTTAAAAATCAGGAGGTCAGTTAAATCTGCTACCTTTTTGAAAATAATATAACATTCATTAGTTTTTGTTTTTTAAAAAAGCACTAAGAGGTCATCTGATAAAAAATGCCTGAGGATACCATAAGGTTGAAACCAAGGTAGCAGATTCAACTGACCTCCTGATTTTTAAAGTGTGTGTGTGTATGTATATATATATATATATATATATATATTATGTGCGTTAAGATGATGAGACAAAGTGTAAAATTTTATTACAGATGTCTTTCACAGGAGAAGTGTATGCTCTCTTTGGCTTCTTCAATTTAAATGAAAGAAAGACAAAACTGTGAGGAAAATGTATTGGAATCTGTGAGCATAAGTGGGTATCATAAATCAAATTAATTACCCTAGCTTATCGCTGCCTAATTTCTAGACTTGGAGGGTATCTGTTTGCTATGGTAGGATTTTAAATCAGGGATTTTTTTTTTTAAATGACGGAGGCAAAGAATGCATATGCTTCTCTGACGAAACGTGTCTTTAATAAAATTTTCCACTTGTCTCATTATCTTTCCTTTTTCTTTTGGATACTATTATATATATAATGCACTTTTATCTATAACTAAAACTATAAATTTATTTTATGGAGTTAATATAAAAGCATAAATGTTTAGACTGTACACTCTGCAAAATTATAAATTCACAGCATTTTTCATTAATTGCTAACCTTTTAAGAAGTTGTATTCAATGAAGAAAAGAATAAAAATTGATTCTTCCAATATAAGTTTGCTTTCTCTTTATTTTGGAATGACAACAAAATGATCATTAAATATACAATGCATTTACTCAGAAGAGGGTTTTTATGTATTCAGGGCCTATTAAAGGATCCTAAATTTAGAAAAATTCCCAAATATTAAATCATAGCTTATTACTAGCCTAATGCTGGAGCTTATAAAACAGGTAAATATTTAAACAGCTTTGATACATTACCTGAAATAATGAATTACCTGAAATAATGAATAAGCTCTCCTGACACATAAACATTGTAAGATGTCACTTTCACCAGATAGCTTGAAAATATTTAATGTGAGGTGTTCGGAAGTAAAGAGTCCCCCACAACATTTGTTACTAGGTTACTCTGGCACTGTATAGTGATTTTCCAAGTGTATCTTAGATGTGGCACAAGGCCAAAAGTAGAGGGCACCCAGGGAGGAATGAACTCACTGCTCAGTCCTAACCATTACACCACCTCGAGGTACCCGCCTCTGGCACTGTATATTTGTGAAGACAATAACAAATTTGTAAAAAAAAAAAAAAAAAAAAAAAAAAAAAATATCTATTTAAAATATATTTAGTCTTTAAAATTTCATGGATTATTGAGATCATAAGTGTTCACGAAGGGAGAAAAGGGAATATACTGATATTTCTAGCAAAAAATAAAAAAAATTTCAACTGTATGTGAAAGTGCATTTCGGCAGCAGTGCTTCATTAATACAAGTTTGATTAAAGGCTAGAGACAATTTTTTACACCTTGTCATTGTTTACATACAGAAGAATGCATGTCCAGATCCAACGGATGTAAATATTTTCCAAATGAGTGCTTTCAACCATACTTTTGGCCATTATCAAGATCATGATGTAAAAACTAAGGATTTTAATTATTAAATTTTTAATGTTTGTGTACGTTTCTGTACTCCTGAGACAACATACAAGAAAAATTCTTCCCTTTGAACAATTAGTCATAAAATACATTCAAAATTCCTTCTGCCCAAACTGAATAAGAAATCATTAAACATTGAGTTCATTTTCAGTATTTACATTAGTCGGACTATTGTCCTCATCTTTGTCGCCATATTTGTCACAACGTTTCGGCCGTTGTACGCTCCGGCCTTCTTCAGGTGGTTGGAATTTCGAACTGAACCCTTTATTTCGATCACTGGGGTAGACTGTTCTAGTTCCACTGTGCCATGTGTCCTCAAGGATACATGACATAGTGGATAAAGGCGTTGGTTAGATCCAGTGACAGACCCAAACAAGGTGAGTTCAATTCCTGGTTAAGGCAGTGGAGAACTTTCAGAGGGAAAATTAGCAGGAGATAACTGATAACTGACATCCATCAAACATGGCACGTGGACAATAGTTCGACTAATGTAAATACTGTACAGAATACCTCATCTCAGAAATATAGACAGACTCTGAGTTCATTTTCTTGAACCAAAATAGCTTCATTTTTATATTTTATTTGTTTTGTTTCCAGTTAATGAGGATTGTGTATATGACTGTTTGATAAGTATTTGTCATGTATGAGTAGAAATATCAATGTCTAACAGTTTGTTCATTAATATGAGCAGGAATGTCAAGTTAACTAATGGGTAAGGTGATAGTTGCATATCCAAGATGGTAGATTTCATGCCTGTGCACTATCTATCTCTCTCTCATATATATATATATATATAAAAATGTAGTATTGGCCAGAGTGTATGAATTACATTTGTTTTTCCTGTAATCACAGTGTTCATTCATGATTGATTGTAAAAACAATGTGTCATCCAATTTGACCAAAGAGCATTCATTTTTTTGATAGGATTTAACTGTGATTAGAATTATGATTTAGCTGTGCCTGGTATGATTCAATAATTTTGGCAGCCAGAAAATCATTTAAAGCAATATTAGTTGTTTACCAAAAGATGGTCACCTACCCAACCAAAGGATAATTCACATGAGGTTATTCTGTGCCAATTTAAACTCTTATAAGACTACCAAAAGCCTAAATTGTCAACGAACAGTAGTGATTCATTCATTCTGGCCAGTACTGTATATGAAAGCGAGAAGTATGAAATTGATTAGCATGTTCAGGCCATCATGGCTTTTCTAAAATACTTCCTGTACATTTAAAAATATTAAAACAAATAAAATACCCAATAAAAACAAATGACTGTAAAAATATCAAGTTATAGGCAAATTTTAACTTTCATGCCCACAAATGAATGGAGTGTCAAAAAGTATGTTTTTTTTTTCCATTGACAACTATTTGTCTTAAAAATGATGATTAGAATTGTAATAAAATCTAAACCTATGAAAGTGAACTTATGCATTTTCTTTATTATTTTTGTTAATTCTCAAGAACAAACACCATTTATTGGAATGGTTGGCAAAACATTTGCTTATTGATTCAAACTTTATAATATAGTTGGTTTACATATTTTAATAATTTAGTAAATGTTTATAAATTTATGAATAAAAGATTTTCATATTTATTTCTTTATAAATTGGTAAATGATAAATATTGTATTAGTTTTTAGAATCTTGTAAATAAACTAATGAATAAAGTGTTTAATATTTTTGTTGCAAATTCTCAAGACCAAAAAAAAAAAATTACCATTCTAATCATTGCTTTTTAAAACAAACATTGCCAAAGAGTGAAGATAGTTAAAATAAAAAGCTTCCTCTTGACACCCCACTTTTTTTTTTTTTTTTTGAGGCACATATGTCCAAGTTATGTATTAAAATAGAAGAAGAAATATTTCTTAGATATCTGTATACAAATAAAAACAATAAGTCAAACAAAATTTTGATGACCAATCAAAATATGGATCCTAAAGAGTGTACAGTGAAAACAATCATCTTGCCTAAGAAATACATTTAATGTCTGCAATTGAGTGAATAGTGAAGAAAAATTTGTTATCATAAAAAGAATACGAAAATGAAATTTTTATGGAATGGAGAAAGGTCTTTGATTCCATGTCTAGGTATTTAAGCAAAACTTCCTTCAGCAATAGAATTCCAGTCTGCGAAGTTCAATGATGCTATACAGAGCCTTTTCTACATCAGGATCGATATAGCCCTGGAAATGAAAGAAAAAAAAAGAATTACCGATTTGGGTTATAATGTACAAAATTAACATCTAAAAATCATAAAAAGAAAAGTTTTAGGCCTATATACATTTTACTTAATCTTAAAATAAAAAAAAAGGTCTGACGACAGGAAGATTGTGTTGTGACAAGTTTTCAGGCTTTAAATAACCTGCAATGGGTTAATAAGCTGTAGAAAACAAAGCTATCAATCAAATCTTGTTCTTTGTTCAATCTATGTAAACACAATATAGATCCTTGATAGAAATCTCAGAGACAAGGAATATGATCATCTTCAGATGTTCAAGAATCTGGAAACTTTTTTGTCTCATCACCCACTTTCACATGGAAAATATCTTCTGTCACTCACCTGCTCAAAGCTTGGATGTGCAGCTGGTGTAATGTATAATGTCTTTGAATTGTTAATCAGAGAGCAGAGTTTCAATTCCAGTTAAATTCATTATATTCACTTACACGTAAATACCCTTGGGGAAAGGTATGAATTCACCTCTTCTCCCCCTAGCTACTGGTTATTTAGTAAGACTTTTATCACTAAATCAGTATCTCTCCCTCCCACCCAGATTACTATCTAAAAATATTTTCTGGCTTTAAATAAACTGTAGAAAAATGAATGAATCAATCAAATAATGATCAGCTACACAGAATTCTCTGGAATATAGTGATTTTCCAAGCATTGCTTAGATGTGGCACAAGGCCGAAAGTAGGGGGCACCCAGTGAGGATCAAACTCACTACTCAGTCATAATTGTTCTAGCGAGACATGCTTGCTAAACATTACATCACCTCAAGGTGCTCAAATTCTCTGGAATATAAAGTTAAAAGAAACTAGTGGCCAAAAAATGAGGGGTCAGTTTATATATATATATATATATATATATATATATATATATATATATATATATATATATATATATATATATATAATTGTAATATAGAATTGATCCCCTACTTTATATTCACATTATAATTTTTGTTTCTTTATCAAATTCCTATTAGGTATGAATCTATCACTTCCCCACCACTAAACCGTTATTATCTAAAAATATTTTCTGACTTTAAATAATCTGCAAAGGGTTGATAAGCCATAAAAAAACAAATCAATCAATCAAAACTATTCCGATGTGAGTTAGGATCGCCATGAAATTTCTGTACCTGCTTGATTTCTGATGTGTCATTTTTCAAGCTGACAGACTTGCTTGCCTTTCCTGCTGATAAATATACATTCTTTGTTTTCATAGTTAATTGTTAGTTCTTTCTTCTTGCTTTCTTCTATTGTTTCATTGTATAGATTAAATTAATCCCATGGGAAAATGTATCCATACTGTTATATCCCAGGTTGTTAGGATGAAGAAAAATGAATGAAAATAAGACAAGTGTATTTTAACACATAACAGAATAACTTTTATTCATTTACTGCCTGAGAACAGCAAGGATTGTTTGGCACTTCTGAATTCAACATGGTGATAAGCTAACACGTACTTGGAACTCTTGCTTTAAATCCAAAGTCCAACTAGGGGACAAGGGACATAACTCAATTGTAAGTAAGCACCTCCTAACAGTTTAACCATCATGTTGAATTCAGAAGTGCCACAGTTCAGCTGGCAGACAAGGGACATAACTCTATTGTATTTTGAGTTATGGTCCTTTATAGAGAGAAGTGAGTAAGCACCTCCTAACATTTAGCATGCTTGAACCCACAGTCATGATGACTTATGGCTTTGTGCTTGCAGAACATCAAGAGCTTCTGAACAAATTTGTGTACCCACTTTCATACACAGGTCTGTGTTATGGTTTTCAGACACTTCTCACCAGGGCCACATGCTGGAATCATCTTCTCAGGTCAGTATTACCAAGTCACATTTTTGACAATAGAGAAATTTGAACCTAAAGGTTGGAAAACTAATGTTCTAACCATTTAGCTACACAAACGCACATCTGTAACTAAGTTACAGTTTCTAGGAGAGTGTCAAATTTTGGAGTGATTAGTTGAACAATGTTAGTGTTATCTGTCTATATTTCTGAGATGAGGTATTATGTACATTATTTGGACTATTGTCCTCATCTTTGTCGCCATATTACAACGTCCTCAAGGACACATGGCACAGTTGATAAAGGTGTTAGTTAGTTCCAGTGCCAGGACCCAAAGAGTGTGAGTTCAATACCCGGTTAAGGCACTGGAGAACTTTCAGAGGGAAATTAACAGGAGATAACTGACATCCATTAAACATGGCATGTGTAACTAGAACAGTCTACCGCAGTGAGCAAAATAAAGGGTTCAGTTTGACATTCCAACCACCTGATGAAGGCCGGAGCATACAATGGCCGAAACATTGTAATATATATGGCGACAATAGTCTGAATTATGTAAATGTTAGTGTTATATGCCTGGTTGTTGGGACAGACACACAATAAAATAACTTTTATTAATTTACTGCCTGAGAACAGCAAATATTGTTTGGATTTAAAGCATGAGTTTCACATGTGTGTCAGCTTATCTCTCTTTCTATGTGTTGTGTCCTTTCAGAACGTAGGAAATCATGGCCCTCCACTTCTCCCTATCCCTTGTAGCTCTCGAAAATTTTTGTCCTTCTGCCACATTCCCGAGACCACGTTCTGTCATCCACTTGCTCCAGCCTGTCAGGTATGTCATGTGTTGTTTTCCCTTGTCTCTCTTTCACTCTATTTGACCTGTGAGTATCAGATTCTCCAAGCCCTCCTTCCTTATGTGCCCCAGGAACTTCAGCTGCCTCTTCTTGATGTTAAGTATAAGTTTCCTCATCATTCGCATTCTCTCTAAGACCTCATCGTTGCTCACATGCTCGGTCCATGATATCCTTAGCATCAAGTATTAATTTGTTCTCTTGCTCTTACTAATTGTTTTAGTTTTCATAACTGTTCTTTCTTTCTTTCTTTCTTTCCTATGATATTGAATTTAATCCATATCATCTTGCTACTTGATGTTTACTATCATGAACTTTGTTGAATATAAGGTGGCCAGTGAACGAATGCCATGACACAGTTGTGGAATGATTCCTTTCTATGTAAACAGTCAGACTAGCACCTCCCTCAGTCTTGGGTTTAAATGTGGGGAAGCAGTTGAGATTTAGCAAAGTGTGATTTTTATGACTAAGAACCACATACTTTTTCAGTTCTTGGCCCTGTTAGCTTATCACTATGTTGAATTCAGAAGTGCCAAAGTCTAACTAGCAGACAAGGGCTGTAACTCAATTATATTTTGTATTGTAGGAAAAGTTAAGCACCCACTAACACTTCTACCGATTCTATTTTTGTATACTTGCTTAACGTATTTTCTATATGCATGGAGGTGGTTATTTCACAGTAAACATTGTGAATTCTCGTATCTTCCATATAAAAGTTAAGCTTACCTAGGTGCGACCGTGAACTGCATCCAACAGCAAGGCCTCTGATAATGTTTTTGAAAAAATAATGTTGCCAGCTGTACATTTTTGAAAAAGTATTACCAGCTGTTTAATGTGTCCTGGGTAAGATGATAAACTATGTCCAGCAGCAAGGCCTGTGATCAGGAGGTTTTGAGGAGCGTGGAACCATCTCTTAATTTCTGGTGTTCCCATGTCCACAATGACCCAGAGTGGTATTACCTGTTAGGGTTCCAGCTATGGGCAAATAGTTAACCCAAAACTGGGGTCAAAATACTATGAAAGTGTAAAAATAACTTTTAATCCCAGAAATACTTTGTAAAAACTATTACCAGCAATATATTTTAAAAAAAAAAAAAATTATTACCAGAAATAGATTTTTGACAAAACAAAATATTACCAGCAATAAAAATTTTGTCGGCATTAAATAACCCATTGAGGTTGATATGCCATAAAACAAACCAAACCAGGTTTACTCTTCATGGCTGGGACCTACAATGGCACTTACATAGTAGAAAACCATCTACATTCCCTCTGTGTTCCACCCCAACCAGTATCTTTCTGCAAAATACTGACCTATGGTACAGACTCCCAAGAGGATCAATCTTAACCTGTTTAAGTCTAGAGGTAACCATTATCTTTTTCTCCTATCCATATAAACTACTCCTTAATCCAACCCTCTATCTCAAGTGTCTCCCATGTCTTGTATAGGGGGGGGAGATAAAATGTATTGAAGGTCAGATACAAACCTGAACTGCACTGATCAAATGTAGACGGTAATTTTCAACAATTTCTTCATATCTTTTCTCAGTTTGCTGTAAAAACAAAAAGAATGAATACAAACCATTTGTTTGTGTTTCTGTTTAATTATAAAAATTACCCATATTTTCTAGTAGAAGGAACACGCCCAAAATTTTGCATGAAATATCTATAGTTAAATACTGAAAGAAATTTCCTGGAGCCTTTGGGAACCACTGGGAAGGATTTGTAGATCCTAAATCTAATTTTCATTGTGTTGGAATTAAGTACATCTCTGATATCAAAAGATTTTCTTTTCCAATAAGTCAGACAACTGTCGCTCTCCACAGCGTCTCTTTACTTGGAATTGCCCTATATTGTGAAGGGATATGATATTAAAATTTAAAATGGTGTTAACTTTTGTTGGGTCTAACAAAAAAAAAAAAAATAAAATAAAAACTCAGATTTTTAATTAAGTTCTTTCCTGTGAATGTATACCATGCTTTCATTGCAGTACTAATTTATACCAAATACAAATTCTAGTCATCTTGAGTATGATGATAAACTACATCTGGCAGCAAAGCTTCTGAATGGGAGCTTTTGAGGAATATAGAACCACCTCTTAATTGCTGTTGTCCCCAGACTCAGCATGGTAGCACTTGTTAAGGTCTCAGCTATTGGCAAATAATGAACCCCCAAACTGGAGTCAAAATATAAAAATAATTTGGAAAAAAAATACCAGTAATATATTTTTGGGGAAAAAAAATTTACCAAAGCTGACAAGAAAATAAAATTTTGGCATTAAGACCCATAAGGAGTTGATATGCCATTAAACAAATGCTGGTAGGGAATTTTTAACTTATGTAAGTGTTTCAGTTTGAATAAATGTTATGCTAGGAATCTTTATTTCTGTTTAATAAACAGGAAACAAAATGATCATACCATTGTGAAAATTATTTGAAAAATAATAAGTGGAGATCATACCAAATAAGTACCTAACCTGAGGTGGGGAAGAACTGAAGGAATTTAAGTTAGTCATGCTGGTACTTTTATTTAGTAGGCTAGGTAAACAAGAATAAACTAAAATCCACAGACTACTAATAAAAACCAAAAAATATATTTGTGTACCGGCAAAATTGGATCTTTGTACCTGTAAAAGAACTGAGAGTCAAAAAGACAATTTTTCCCTCTACACTTACCCTCCCTCCTCAGCAATGTTTATTGTTTTAAAAAGTGACGATTAGAATTGTAATAAAACCTATATGTATGAAAGTGATTTTATACATTTTTTTTTTGTTCTTGAGAATTAACAACATAAATAATAAGCTCTATTTACTTATTAGATTGTTTATTGGAATATTTTGCAAAACTTTGGCTAATTTCCAAATGATCATGTCACTGAGAAAATTATTTGAAAAATAATAAGTAGGGGTCATACCAAATAAGCACCTTACCTGAGGTGGGGAAGAACTGAAGGAATTTAATTTTTTTGCAAAAACAATCAACTTATATTCTATAGAATAATTTAAATTAAATAAAAAAATATAAGTATTGTACCTAGAAAATATTACAGTGTTAGTAACAGCAAATAACATAAAATGCACTCCAAGTTTAGGCAATTTTTAGTGTATAAGGAAAGATGAAAGGCTAGATAAATGTTATGGTGACAAGAAAGCATTTAATTCTCCAAATGCATCCTGGGTATGACGATAAACTACATCTGGCGGCAAGGCCTCTGATCAAGAGATTAGGGATTTTGAGGAGTGTGAAACCACCTCTTAATTTCTGTAGTTTCCAGGTCCACCCTGACCTGGGGTGGTACTGTCTGTTAGGGTCCCAACTATGGGTCAAAACACTATGAATGTAAAAAAAAAAAGAAGACAAATGACAAATTTATTTCTATGCTAGGCCTACAAGCATTGGTTTGTGTGTTCAATCTCTGGTTCAGGCTGTGTACACTTGCACTCGGTAGAAACAGGCAACAATAACCAAACAGTACTAAATAATAATAACTAAGCATATCCCTTGACATGAGCAGTGGAATGAGAAGTCTACCACCATAGATTAAATAAAAGGTTCAGTTCAGAATTCCCTGTAGGTTACCCAGATCAATATACACCTTAGGAAGGCCAGAGGACACAACACCAGAAACATTGTGATAACAACAACAAAGATGAAGACAATAGTCTCAATATGAATACCATACCTATGAACACTAATGGTTATATCTCAATCCTCATAAATACGTTAGAATATTACCCCCACTTATAATAGTGTCTAAGTAGTCCACCATTAGCAGTGGTTTACCTACTTCAGGTTGCTGATGAGTATTATATTTTGTTGATGTTATAAAGATTACCATTTCGTTTCCAACCTCCATTTTGGTTATTCATCATATGATCACCAAAGTTAAGCAATGTCAAATCTGGTCAGTACCTAGATGGGTGACCATTTGGGAATATCAGGTACTGTAAATTTGGATGTATGGGTGGTTTAATGGATAATGGCATGGAATTGGAGATCAGAGATATGAGTTCCAATACCAGTCAGGTTTGTTAAATTCACTTATATGCCAATACCCTTGGGAAAGGTATGACTCCAACTCTTTTCTCCCCCAGTTATAGATTAATTAGTAAAATTTGTGGCAATAAATCATTATTATTTCCAATGTTGATAAGCCATAAAAAAACAAATCAATCTATTACTTGAAATTCTGATTCTGGAGTTCAGAACTTAACAAGTCAAATGCATGTGAAGCCTGCTTAACCAATGAAAATCAAACAACACAAAAATTAGGATACCAGAATTTCTTTCTTTCTTATTTCATTCTCTGACTAAGATTTAATAAAAGTGAAACGTGTTAGATTTATAAACATTTCCTATTTGTTCTTTATCCTATCATTCTGTTGGATTGTGATTGACATTTCAGCCCACTTCCATATATATATATATATATATATATATATATATATATATATTCTAGGTAATAAAATCTATTAGTATATAATCCAAGTGTATTGTAACAATATAAAATATTAAAACTGATCCACAAAAAGAGCTCAGTGTATTTATTATAACAGAAATCCAAAATTGCCTCATGATTATAGACTATTTCAACTAACGCATTGATGTTAGTTAAAATAGTCTATACTCATGAGGTAATTTTGGATTTTTCTGTTATGTAAATTAATAAATAAATATATATATAAAACACACACACCAGTTTTACTGTATTAGTAACATTATTTTTAAAAATTAAAAGCAAATAGTTGTTTATTATTTCAAAATAATGTTGAAAGCATGCCAAATATTTTAATTTTTTTAAAATTGTCAATGCCAAATTGTAAGAATTATCTCAGAATAAAAATAAAGAATTACTTGCCATTATTTGCTGTTGAAGTCTAGTATTTTCGTTTTCAAGCATTTGGATCTTGGAATTGGTGTCATGGTTATTTTCAGCATTGCTTTGTTTGTCTTCATCCTGATATTTCAAATGGATTTCTTGCATCACTTTGTTGTACTTTTGCTGCAAGTTGTCATTTTCCTTGGTCACTTCCTCAAGTTTTTCAGCAAGTTTCAGTTTTTCTGCTTGAAGTTCTTCTTTCTCAGAGTTCATCAGCTGAACAGTGGCATCATGGGCGTCTTTAATTTCAACATTCGCTTCTTCAAGGATGTCTTTTTCTACCAATAATTTCCTGCACTGTTCTTCGAGAAGACTGTTTTCCAGTTGCAAAACATTTAGTTCCTCCTCCTCCTCTGCCTTGTTATCTTCTTGAGACCCCACAATTTTATTTGCTTCAAGCAATTCCTTGGTTTCATCAAAATGATCTGGGATCAACTTTTGGGTATTTTCTGATGCACTTAGATTTGCCACTGTTTTTTCCAATAATTCTGTCTTTTCACAGATACGATTATATTTCTCCTGAAGGTTCTTATTCTGCTCAATCATTTCCTCCAACTCCTGTTGCAAATTATCTTTCATGTTCAACAAGTTACAATTCTGCTTTGTGGCTTGTTCATTATTTTGTTTCAGTCTCTGCTGAATAAAAATTAGCTTGTCTTTTTCTTCTTGCACTTGTTCGTATTCCTCCTGCAGCTTGTCTCGGTTGCTTACCAAATTATTGTAGTCACTCTGCAAGCGAACATGTTTCTCTTTGAGGTCACTAAGTTCTTGAATTCCCTGCAGGCTTTCTGGTGGATCTGCAACTTCAAGTTCCTCTTTTGATAAATCTGCAACTTGAAGAAGTTTCTCATTTGGTTCATTTGTAAAATCAGAAGTGACACTGCTGATTTTCTTGGTCAGCTGCTCCAAATTTTGCATAAGGTTCAAGTTCTCTTGCAAAAGGTTACTCACTTTTTTGTCATGGTTTTCCTGATCTAAAACCTGGTTTGAAAGCTGCTTAAAGCAAGAAAAACAAAGTTTTGAGAAATAAAATCAGTTTTTCTAGATTATCTGCATTAAAAAAAAAAAGAAAATATTAACATGAATTCTGTTAATGATTAACCCAAAGTTGTAATGTTGTCGTTGTTCAAAAAGCGAAGAATTAGGAAGGCCGTAGTTAGTCTTCTGATCCTTCAATACTCTCTCTATGTAGAGAAAACATTTATTAGATACTTATACATAGAACGGAAATGTTTCATTTCTGTTGTAATGTTGTCTTTATTCAAAATTGTTCTAATTCCACGTGCCATTCCTCTTATGTCTCAGTTATTTCACTTTAACTCAAGTCTCTAAGTTTTGGTTCACCACTGCTTTGGCCTGGTATTGAACTCACAACCCTTTGGTTAGATCCAGTAACTAGACCCAATGTCAGACAATTTCTATGATCACATCACCCCTTACATCTGGCCACCTAACTCCCCAGACTGCAACCCCTTTGATTATTATATATGGGGCACAGTTGAGTGAGAGACCAACAAAATTCCTCGTAAGACCAAAGATGAACTGAAGGCAAGGATTATGGTGGCATTCATCAACTTAAACAAGGAGACCGTCCAAGAGAGATGCAGGAGATTCCAAAGTCATTTGGAGGCAGTAGTTGAAGCCAATTGCAATTTTATTGAATAAATTTACCCTTTAATATTTTAAGATATCCTTGTGCAATTGGTAAATATATCTGTTAAAAGGAGATGTCAGTGTTATTTTCATTTTTACGTAATTTAGATGACAATTTATCTCTCACCCAATATGCATATTATTTTGTGCTTTGCTGGAGTGATGACATCTGAGAGATTTCCTTCTATTTGTTTATAAAGATTGTTGCAATGTTGTCTTTGTTCAAAATAGCAAAGAATTAGGAAGACCATAGTTAGAGAGTATCAAAGGAACAGAAGACTAGGTAGGAAAAACAAAGAAGAGGTTTGTTAAATAATCATACATAGAACAGAAATACTGAGTAAATCAATTACTACTCAAATCCTACTCTAATGTGGCTACTTGACATATTTATAAGTATGAGCAGTCCATTGTCAGAGTAGTAGAAAACAGCAGGAAGTACTCTGAATCCTACTCTACAGCAATTTTATTGTGCTTATATAGCTCAAATGCCACAATTAATGGGCAGAGAAATTTTGGGATTTGTTTTTGGTGAAAACTAATAGCAATCATTTTAAAATATAGCAACTAAAAAAAAATGCAAATTCATCATTTTGATTTTTCTTCTTTTTCTTATGAAAACCCCCAAAAATTTGTTTTTTTTTTCTCTCTCTCTCTCTGTCTGCTTAACCTTGAAAATGAAAACCTTGACTTTGATGTATTTTGGATCAACCAACTTAATAAACTTATTTCCACTGGTTATAAAAACTTTGGTCTAAAAAGTATTAACAAGAAATACAAAGTGTTATACACTATATTGCTGTTTTTTTTTTTATTTCAAACTTTTTACATCATTAGCTTCTTTTGGCAATGATTATAAAATTTCTTGTACATTCCAAATCAGCTAACCATGTAAAAATATCTTCATTCCCTTAAATCAAATTTAACAGCTAACATGTTTAATTTCTACCCAGTTAAAAAAGGAAAAAAAAAAATTATGTTCATTTTTTTTTTATTTTCTTTCCAGCTAGATTGGTAATCAGCACAGAAAACTGAGTCATTGATCACAATTCAAGTTTCAGCTGAGTCTGTTACATTCACTTTTGCACGAATGCATTTGAGAAAGACATGATGTCATCGGCCCACCCCCACCCCTGCTACTATGAGTAAAATGACAGGGAAGACTGAGCTTTTTAGTTTTACATGGTAATACATCTCTGATTTCAAAAGATTCTCTTTCCCAACAAGTCAGGCAATTTTGGCTCTCTAAGGGTCTCTTTTCTCAGAATTGCCCTATATCATGAACAGATATGATATTAAATTTTTTTTAAAATTTAAAATGGTGTTAACTTTTGTTGGGCCTACCAAAAAAACTCAAAAAATTCAGATTTTTTAATTAAGTTCTTTCCTGTGAATGTATGCCATGCTTTCATTGCACTACTAATTTATACCAAATACAAATTCTGGTTCTTGAGTATGATGATAAACTACATCTGGCAGCAAAGCTTCTGAATGGGAGAATGGAACCACCTCTTAATTGCTGTTGTCCCCAGTCTCAGCGTGGTAGCACTTAAGGTCTCAGCTATTGGCAAATAATGAACCCCCAAACTGGAGTCAAAATATAAAAATAATTTGGAAAAGAAATACCAGTAATATATTTTGGGGAAAAAAAAATTTACCAAAGCTGACAAGAAAATAAAATTTTGGCATTAAGTGACCCATAAGGAGTTGATATGCCATTAAACACTGGTAGGGAATTTTTAACTTATGTAAGTGTTTCAGTTTGAATAAATGTTATGCTGGGAATCTTTATTTCTGTTTAATATAAAAGGAAACAAAATGATCATACCATTGAGAAAATTATTTGAAAAATAATAAGTGGAGATCATACCAAATAAGTACCTAACCTGAGGTGGGGGAAGAACTGAAGGAATTTAAGTTAATCATGCTGGTACTTTTATTTAGTAGGGTAGATAAACAAGAATAAACTAATAAATCCACAGACTACTAATAAAAACCAAAAAATATATTTATTTACCGGCAAAATTGGATCTTTGTACCTGTAAAAGAACTGAGAGTCAAAAAGACAATTTTTCTCTCTACACTTACCCTCCCTCCTCTGCAATGTTTATTGTTTTAAAAAGTGACGATTAGAATTGTAATAAAACCTATATGTATGAAAGTGATTTTATACATTTTTTTTGTTCTTGAGAATTGACAACATAAATAATAAGCTCTATTTACTTATTAGATTGTTTATTGGAATATTTTGCAAAACTTTGGCTAATTTCCAAATGATTCAAATTTTATAAAATGGCAACTAATAAGGATTTTCTTACAGCTTGTCAACTTATAATACTGAATTATTTTTAATACAATTGTATTAGTTTTTAAAATTTTCTAAATAATTCTAGTTTTTTAACTAATTATTTAAATCTTTTGCTGAATTATTCCTTCGTATTAAAACATTTCAACTGACAAGCTCAACCAAAATGAAGACCCACGATCAGATCTGTCCTTTGGTTTGCACAATTATTATATTTAGCAAGTAATTTTTACAGTGGTAAATGGGTATTAAAACTTTATCCCCTACAGTTTTGTGGCTTTTACACAGAGCATGGGAGAGGTGGGGGATAGTTGTCCTACCAAAGCTAAAGAGTCCAGTCTACCCTGCTCTTTGTCCCATAGCTGGGGAAAAAAAAAAAAAAAAAAAAAGATAGATTCATGATCTTCTCAAACGCATACTGCAAAGTAAGCACAAACTGCCTCAGCTGAAAGTTGGATTCCCACCTGATGTATGGAAAACCAAACAATTTAATATTTTCTTGAAGTTTTGCAGTGACATAAATCAGGGGTGGCCAATCTGTGACTCGTGAGCCTCATGTGGTTCTTTGACCGTTAATATGCTGCAGCTTGTAGAAATATATTGGCCAAACTCCTTTTTTCATCACAGTTTATTTACTGGGTATGAATCGAGGCACCATTAAATTCAAGTGTAAGTTTACTGTTCATGGTTAGTAAAAAATTTTAAGAATTTAATGTCTTGTAGTTCTCAAACCTCTGAACTTTATCGTATTTTTATTTCAGTTTAATAAACAGAAAACAAAATTATTATTGAAAAATACTAAATGGGCCATACCAAATAAATACCATGGTGGGGGGGTGTTGAAGGAAATAATTTAATCATATTGGTATTTTTATTCAGTAGGTCAAAAAAAAAAGAATTCATTAATAAACCCACAGCCTAATCATAAAAACAAAAGAAATACATTTAGGTACTCACACATTAAACAAGTTTGGATATCACTGACATATATATAGATAAAACAATACAGAAACATGGACTAAGGACTATATCCTCCCTTTTCCTCAAAATGTAGACTTTGGTGTAGCAAAAATCTACAGAGGAATAACCATTATAGCAATCTTTGGAATCTTTTAGTTGAGACACATTTTAAAAATATTTCAAACTCACCTCAAGTCTCTCGAGGAATTGTTTGTTCTCCTTCATTAATTTGGAAAGCTTTTCGTTGAGGTTAATTTCATCTTCAGCTGGATTACATAAAATGATAAGATAAAAAGTTTTCATTCGCTATTTCATTTCAATCAAAATATATAGTATTTGTCTAATTTAAAAAGAAAGGTTTGGAAAAAATGGCATGTACATATATATATATATATATATATGTGTGTGTGTGTGTATATATATATATGTACAACGGTCAAAACATTGTAATAAATATGGTGACAAAGATGAGGACAATTGTCCGAATAATGTACATAACACCTCATCTCAGAAATATAGACAGATAATAAAATTTTATTAGGATGTCTGATATGGTTAATATTTCTAGTATCTGCGGTCATATTTTTACAGTTTGTGACAGAATTTATGTCAACAATGATGATGATATAGTGGTTGTGTAACCAATATATGTGTTGTTTGAATTATTTGCAAAGGGTAGTTGACATAATGTAGTGGTTAGAGTTGCTCAACCATTGTCTTTATTTCTATCATTGGACTCATGATGTCATAGTTGAGTACCTGATCAGCTCCCCCTACATGTCTTGGTAGGTATTCATTCTAGATCTAGTCATGCCCATTCCCCAACACCGAGTGTCCCCCAACTTGAAGGCTCACTCTGGTCACAGATATGTGGCTGTTGGCTTCATTGAAGTCAATGGCCAGGGCGGAGAGTTCTCTAAAAGGCCCTCTACCCAGTAAATCTGTGCCATTACCACTCTTGCTTTACTGACAATGGTTCAGATTTAGCCTGAAACCAGTTGAACTCACTGTAGTTACAGCCTCTCAGCTGAACTCCTTATGAGTGAGAACTTCACTGTGTATAAAAATGGAGTTGCCTGTATAGTTTGGGTTGAGAGGCAGTTGAATAAATGATCATTTTTATGTAGTATTGATCCAATTCCCAACAACAACAATAATAATAATAATGAAAATAAAAAGAAAAGAGCAAAATAATACAAAAAACAAGCAATGTAATACAGGGCAAAGCAAAGCAATTATAAGACAGTAAAAAAGAAACAAAAGGGATACAGTCAAGTGGTTATAGACTTCTGCCTTCAAGACAAGAAAGAAAAAATGTTTGGCTCAGAATTGTTCATTTTGATTGGCTTAGAAGAAATCCCAGCATGCATTTGTAAGAATTGTCTAAAAATTTGGGTAGCAGAGATTTTTCTTCTTTTTTATTTTTTTTTTATTTTTAGTAGTTCTATTCTAATGACCAAAGAGGTGCATGAACTGGAGTAGAGGTTGGCATGTCTTAGAACCAACTAACAATCTTCTGAAGAAGAATGGATTTCTTTTTGATAAGAAGATTTATTTTTCAATATTATCTCTTTCTTTACTAATATACTTTGTTGAATAAGCGGACATTTTTATGTGGAATTTATCAAATTCCCAATAATGAAAATAAGAACAATGTAAGGCAATAGCAAAGCAATTATAAGATAGTAGAAAAAAAGAAATAGTGTTCACATGCAAAAGGGATACAGTCAAGTGGTTATAGTCTTCTGACTTTGAAACAAGAAATAAAAAATATGTGGGTTAGACCAAGATTTGTCCATTTTTATTGACTAAGAGGAAATCTCAATACACATCTGTAGGATTTGTCTATAAATCTGGGGAGGATGAATTTTTAGCAGTCAATCCCTAGAAACCAACAGAGGCAATTATCTATGGGGATTTTTTTTTTGTGGGGGGGGGGGGTACTGGATGTCAGAGTAAATGATTTTATTACAATTATTGTTAATTTGTTAGTGTAGTGAATTTAATTCCATCGTACAGTTGTTCTCATTTGAAAAAAAAGTAGCACTAGTGTTTGTTACCAAGCTGAAAAATCAATCTGCATTTTTTTGCAAATAAATATTTCTGTGTAAGTAGTTTTGCGATGTGTGTCATTATCTTGGCAATATATCTCATACAGAATTTCTTTGCCTCGGGTTGACTGATAAGATATTTTATCAGTCCCTCAAAAACTGATTTCTTACTGTAAACTGACAAGTGTTTTGCGATTTGGATGAATACTATTAATTTCTGAAATGTTACTTTTAAGAACAAAAACCATGTAATAATGTAAACAGTTTACCCTCATTCTCAATAACTTGCTTCTGATCTTCATTGCCATCTTCATCTTCATCAAGAATCTGAAATTAAAAGAAAGAAAAACTTTTGAATTTCATTTCTTTGAGTTACTTGGCATCACATCATAAAGTAAGAATTACCAAGTTAGTTTAGTCAACCATTATTGCTAGGCAGTGAAAATTTATCTGACTTCTGGCCTTGTGCCAGGCTAGAATAAACTTTAAAATATAAGCAGATAGTTTTCAATGACTTATTTGAGGTTAACAAAAAGTTTATAAATACAATTATGAAAGAAATGATTCATTGACAGTATCAAGTGCACTTACAATCTTCAAAAATTTAAATACAATGTCAATTGCTATCTTCTGCCTTCCCGAACCTGTCCTATTATTGTCCATTCTCCTCATTAACATCTTCTCATTTTCTTTCACTCTCAGTAACCCATTGCCATAGTGGCATTATCACCTTGCTTGGGGTGAAATGATAAAAAAAAGAGAGACAGAGAATATATAGTAGTAGTAGTAGTTTGATAAGTGTGTGTAGGATTGTTCTTAGCTTTGATACAGGGTCTTTGATCTTATGTTTTGCTTATCCAAGTTTCTGGTTTTACAAATGAAGTTAACTTATTGAGCCATCCTTAATAATGCAGGTATTACTATATATGAGGTAAGTGTACAACACTTTTTTTAAGGGTTTTAAGAAATGTTTCTATTTTTTAAACTTTGCCTTCTATTACACATTTTTCTTCTTCATGTAAATATTGAGGGCAACGAAACTATAATTAGTCTGGATTTTATTTTGTGGTGGGAGTAGAAGATTGAGATTTTTGTAAGATGTTTAGTGTTAAATCATTATCAGTGTTGTTTAAGATGATAGCAAGAAACAGTAATATATTGCTTGTTCTTGTTTCCTAAATTTGTATTTTCAACATTGCTTAGCTTATCTACAAAGTGAGTTAATATTGTTTTTCAAGGATATATTACTCAAGCATCATAATGTTGATTCATTAGGCAAAATATTTGAGAAAATTCTCAAATAAAAGACTGATGAAATCACCTCTCTGTGATGTATCAGCATGTCAACCAAATTTCTGTTTATAAAAATTATTAGTGAAAGTGAAATAACATTAATTTGTAATAAATTGGCAAATCTTTATAATTTTGTCTATCAGAAAAGAGAGTATAGGAAATAAACTCAATTTCCAACACAAATATATACCATATTAAAACATGTCTGAACTTTATTTGCTAGCCAATAACAGGCAATATTACAAACATGCCTAAAATATTCCACAACACATACTGTTTAAATCAAAGCATCTATTGGTTAGAAATTAACATCACCATGTGAAATATTTGACCAATCAGAGAAAACTAAAACCTTATTTTTCTTGAGCCTACTTTTGGGAAAAAATTCTTATAAAACCCCACAGATTTTTACTTTCAATGAGAGAGATTCAAGTGTCTCTCCTCGCGTGTGCTGAAAGAAACATATTTCAGCGACTACAAGCAAATCATCTCCAAACAGCAGTGACAGTGAATTTTGCAGATAAATTTTTTTTTCAACCACAGATTTTTCTGTGTACCAACTACTCAGACTTTAAATCAACTAAAGACTATTTTTAATAATTTTTTACTCTTTTGAATTTATGTACATATATTTTTAAATGCAAATGATTTATTTAACAAGCATAACCATGTTTTCTTTTTTATTTTAATATTGTTTAAAATTTAGATGCTCATATTTTTAATATTAAAAAACATCTGGATGACTGAATGTCCCACAAGAGGTTGGCTTTTGATTTGATGTATACGAGATAATGACGAGGAAACACGTTATATTTAACAAAACGAGATAAGGAATTTATTTACAAGTTTACACATTTGGAGTTGTCAGTAGCTTGTGTTACAAAATAAAATAAGACATATCTCGGCTGATTTACAGGCAAATAAACATACTCAAGAGTGAGAGCCGGATGTGAACGGGACAAAGCCCCATCACAAAATGACCATTATCTTCGTTTCCGACGCACGAGTTCCGGTCGAAAAATAAAATAATCTTTAAAGTGTTCTATTTTTCGTCCAATAAAAATGTTTCCCTCCTAATTATACTCACTTCGTTTTTCAAGCCTAAAAGGCAATAAAAAAAACGCCATAAAAGGGGTCACAGGGAAGTACAACAGAGAGTCAACAGGTGACCAGGGAAGGGACCTGTCATGGTCAGGATCAGCAGTCAGCTGCTGTACACAGGGAAGCGCCAGCGTCAACCTGTGTGAACTACTATGAGAGATCAACCTAGATCTGAAGCCGTCTTATGAACTATACCACAAGGTACCTGTCCCAAACCCTCACGTTCTTGTTGAAATAAATCTCGTAAATCTGTTGTTGTATTTCTTTCTTGCAACCATACGCTTGTCTATAACACTTGTTTCAGGAAAAGGAATCAAATATTTTAAGTTCATAAGTTCAAGAAAAGAAAATGTTTATATTAAATCATCAGACTCAAAGTTTAATGTTTAAAATAAATTTTCTCACATAAAAGTTATACGATTGTATTCAATATGAATGAAAAGATATTTTAAGGTACTTAGCTTTGGAGTTGTATAGAGTTCTTTGAAATTGCTCTGCTCTCATTAGAGGCTGATAATGTATCAGCATGTAAATTGACACCGCCGTTATTCAGTGGAATTCTGCCTTTTTCTGCCTTTTCTCTCTCTCCCTCTTTGACTTGATTCAAACTTTTTCTGCCTATTTATATCAAAAAGTGATTTGACATCAACTTGTTACTTTTTTTTCAGTTTATAAGCCACTCTCTTTGGTCAAGATAAATTTTCACGTAGGCATGTTAAACTTTGCCTTGGTCTTTTCTTCAGTCCAGAGCCAATCCCTTTTTCTATTCATTGAAATAAATTTTTTGCACAGGCTCACGAATTTGAAAACAGTGAAGAAAGTTATTTTTATTTCATATTCACCATCAATCAAATGGTTTGTTGAATTTTAATATCTTGGAAATTGTCTTATGTTAATCGATTTTTCATAGAAAATATCTCCTTTACTCACAAAATTACTGCAGTTAGAGAAGAAAAAGAAGCTGAATGAGAAAGGTCAAGTTAGGCATCGAAATATATCAGACGCCAAAATTTAAATTTCAAGCTGAACAACTTTTTTGCTTCACTGTAAAATGGAACTCATGTTTATTATATTTCTCATCTTTAGGAATTCTACGTGATGGATACAGACGTTGAAATAAATAAAGAATAGAATGCGACAGACCTGATTTATACAAGTTGTATTATACAATATTACAAATAAGTCCTTGCAAACTAAATGGTGTCCATGACCAAAATTATCTGCTGAAGAAGAATCAATGCTTTCACACAATCTACAGACTCTGTGGTGATAACAGTGAAGAGCTGGCTGGTTCTGCAAGTGTTCATTTCGTAGGTCTTACCAAGAGTGAGTGTTCTTCAAAAAGAGGTAGAAAAGCACACCAATCAGTAACTGTAATCTGATTGGCTAACCTTAAACTGCCAAGGGCAGATAATCATATCTCTTATTTCTCATACCTTTTTATATATCAGATGGATTCCATTAATGAAACTATTACTAGTCTGAAAAAAATTCCTTCATGAAACAAAACACATCACACTCAGAAGTATTTTTTCCATTTCATCATTCACTTAGAACACAATTATAGAAAAGCAAATTGTTCATTTCTTGTTACTGGAGGCACTGGCAATGGAACTAGGAACAGGAAAGATTGATGTCTTTCTTATAGTCATCAGTACAAATGCATGTTATCAAAAATCTTTATTCTCTTTTCAGAACAATTATATTTTATGACACGTCTCAACTTTGCTTTGATTTGAAATATCAACCAATTGATAAGAATCATTGAAGCTTGGAGATTTTTTTTTTTAAAGATATGGTATATAGAAATGAATTTTGGGCTAATACATAAATAATTTACTATCTTATTGTTGATGCCATCAGGTTTAAAGTGGGTGACTATCGTCTTAGTCCTTTTTATGATTTGAGAGTTCATACAGGGTTGTGGTGTTTTTGACTGACTGAAATTAATTTGTTGAATTCATCTTTTCTTCTGGAGTTGTACGTCCGGTCAAACTCAAAATTCAATGAATCTCCTACCCGACCCTTGCATTTCAAACGGCTACATCAAACCAATTTCCCACTTCTCTTCTGCATTGGGCCTGACACATCCATGTTTTCCGTTTGATTTTTAGTGGGAGGTGTTGCTATTGGTTGATTTTTTTATGATATTCACTGACCCATATAAGCTATGTCCGGGTTTTGTCAGTTACTGAGGATAGGAACAATAGAAGGAAGGAAAGGAAGTAATAGAGAAGAGAGAGAGAGAGTGTTTTCTTTGTCACTCTCTTAGTGAAAAGGAAAGTGTATATTTCAATATGGTATTACTACTACCTAATCATAGTAAAAGGTATGTGTGAAGCCAATTAATTTTAGAACAAGGTTGATTATCATACACAACAAAGCTTCATTATGAATCTTAATTAATATCTAAATAAAATGTATTTCAAAGACACTTATTTGAATAAGTGACCAGCTTGTTTGCTGTACTGTAACTCAATTGAAAAGATGTGGAGCTTTCTGAAGAGGAAGGTTTATTGTAGGGAAAAATAAATGCTGATGAGGGGGTCAAAAAATGCCGTGTGATGCTAGATGGCAGGCCAGCTCTTTTTCTTCTATTTCTTTGATCACCTCAAGGAAACGGATTGTGTGGCTCCCTTTCTCAGCCATTACACTGGCCAGTTGTGAAACAGACACCAACTCAGCTGCGCCTACTTCAACTTCCTCTTTGTCTGTCAATCCATACGTCCAACTCTAAAACATGCTGTCCACTGAATGACACTTCTGTCTTTTGTGCTGCCGGCACCCTGCTTTTTATGCTATTCCAAGACGGCCAAAATTTGCATGTGTGCAAATATCGTCTCGTCTTGGATGAGATATACACACATAAATTGTGTCTTCAATAGCGGCCATATTTTTTTTGTCATCACTTTGCAGGCAAGACACATTCATGCTTGTTTCGAATTCTGAGGTAAGTCATGTCTTTCATTACATTTATATTAGTAAATGGTATTTCACAATGAAACTTTGGAAATCTATTCTGGATACTGTACAGTTTGGAGGCTTTGGACCTCCTAAGTCTTTTGAATTTCTGAAGTGACACAGTACAAACTTACTTTGGTGTCTACTAGTGTAAACCCAGTACATATTGAGTCCACCACAGATCAACTCTTCAAATATTCCTAATAAACATTGAATTCACTTCAAACCTCTGACAAGAATCGCATACTATACTGTATTTTTGCTTATCTTTCTAAGAAATTCAGCAAAATTCTACTTTTAAATGATCAAAAATAAAACATTTCTAATTGTTTATAAAATATATTTCCTAAACATTCATTCAATAGTTTCTTGGTTTTACTTTTTGAACAGAAATACATTTATGTAATCTTAAATGAAATGATACTAAGTGACCATTACACAATTAATTCTTTCTAATTCAGGATGACCCAGAAGTCACAAAGGGTTTGGTTTGGTTTGTTTTATGGCATATCAACCTCAATGGGTAATTTAATGTCGACAACTTTTTTTTTTCATGGTAATATTTTTGCTTTGTCAAAAATCCATTTGTGTTAATATTTTGTTGCAGTTCCTCCCATGTTTTGGTAGACACCGGTAATTACACTGCTCACTCTAGTGGTAGGTTTGAAGCTAGCTTCCAGACAAAAATAAACTTAACTTAATATGAAACTCTATAACAGTGCACGTCACCATGGTCCCAGTTGCACTGCCAGCCAATGTCCCAGACCATTTTTATTGACCAAAAACAACACCAATCATTGCCGTTGACCTCGTCCTCAGAGTCCCCAACTTGACCAATCAGCATGCAGACCGCCACTAGACAAATCGTGCCAAGCAGCATAAAATAAACAAATGTCAGAGAATGTACTTTTCTTGGACCAAACTTGCGAAAGGAAAGGATGCAGTTGACGAAATGACAAACTGTCTAGCTTGGGTTTATGCACATATCCATCATAAAACAGCAGCCCAACAAGCAAAACATCTTGGATGCTTCGACTCCAGTAAGTGTGAATATTTATCGTCACATATTTTTCCTTGAAAACGTATAGCTGGTAATATTATTTTTTCAAAAACATTATCAGAGGCCTTGCTGTTGGACATAGTTTATCATCATACCCAGGACACGGATATAGTCCGAGTGTTAACTATTTGCCCATAGCTGGGACCCTAACAGGTGCTACCACCATCAGGTCAGGGTGGACTTGGGAACACCAGCAATTAAGAGGTGGTTCCACACTCTTCAAAACCTCCTGATCAGAGGCCTTGCTGTTGGACGTAGTTTATCGTCTTACCCGGAACGTGGATGCAGTTTATCGTCATCATAAAACAGCAGCCCGACAAGCAAAACATCTTGGACACTTCGACTCCAGTAAGTGTGAATATTTATTGTCACATATTTTTTCCTCAAAAACGTATAGCTGGTAATATTTTTTCCTCAAAAACGTATAGCTAGTAATATTATTATTAATGTTCACAAAGGGGTTTGGAAGTTTAATAAATTTTTTGTTTATTAACTTTTCTAGTTTTCATTTAGGTGTTTTATAAAGAAGACTTTTTTGTTAATTAAACATGTAAAAATACATAAGTCAGGAAATCTTTCTATCAAAGATCAATAATTCAAACTCAAAACATAAACTGGCCACCATCTTTTTTTTTGGTGGGGGGGGGGTAATCTCAAATAAAAGGTTTATGCCAACAAGCCTCAAACCCGTCCAACAACTGAAGGACAGCATTCAGACAGAAACGATAAAGGCAGTGATGGAAAATGCCTTAGAAAGGACATGTTCACATGAAGTTGAAAATGGATGCCACTTAAAAGATGTAATCTTTCTCAGTTAGTGTGAATTTTATTCCCCATATCCATTCTATTAAATTTAAATTAAAGCTAAAAAGTAAAGAAGTTATTAAATCTTGAAATCACTTGGTGACTTTTGGGCCACCCTCTATAAAACTAAGTTCTTACCTTAAAATCTTCTGCAGTGAAAGTTGCATTTTTCTCCTCCTTTTCTAATAACGAATTTTCCAATTGTCTCATCTACAAAAGAGATATCACAAAAATACAAAATTCAGAGAGGGGAGATAGAAAAATTTGTTTTTTAAGTGTTAATTACATATTCTTAAAACATTTTTAATGCATCACAGTGTAAGAATACAAAACGCAATTATCTCCCTTTGATGGAGATGAAGTCATGTGACAGCTGCTTATTGACATCACTTCATAATGTGATGAAAATGTTCAGTCAATCAGTTTCCAGGAGTCAAATCAAGCAGTTGTTTTTTTTTTTGTTTTTTTTTTTTAGCCCAGTCCCATAGCTGAGACTAAATTGCTTGTCCAGCCACGTGATGCAGTTTATAAGCCTATGACCCCATTTTCCTATGGAAATAGATCTTCATGAGATATAGAAAATATCTCCAGTTTGCAGTCCTCATCTTGAAAAAAAACTCAGGACTCATCATTTTCCATTTATGGAATATTACCTCACTAGCAACATAGTAGATGAATCCAGCCCACTCTATTGTGGAATCCTAAATATGACTTCTCCAGAAACACAGAAGAATCTCCACCAACTCCAGTTGCCATTGAAAATTATTACATGTAAGACTTTCTTTTTCATCCTCTTTTCACTCTGCTTGTTATGTAGATATGTCATATAAATTCTCTGTCATGTATTGCAGCATTTTCTTCATTTCAGATGAAAATTTGGAAATTTTCCAACATATTTCAGTGAAATTTTATCTTTTCAAAATAATAGCTTATAATTATAGTTTAGACATGGGTGGGTGGGAATATGCTTCAGTTTAAAGTGATGCTATAGCAGTTGCTATGTTTTTCACACTCACATACACTCCAAGTCATTTTATTCGCCTGCGATTGGCTAATAAATTACTACTACCTTTGTATAGGACAATTTAGCCATCACATTCGTTCCTTTGAATCTTTTGGTTCTGAGCATACTTACCTATTCTGTTTAGTACGTGTGTAGTGATTGGTTAATTTTTAACCAATCACATATTTTTAATGTAAAAGTTTTCCTGCGATTCTGTGGGAGCCTACCTCTTTTCCTTAAATAGGGCGACTTTTCACAAGTCGCCAGTAAGATCGAAGCCGTCAAGAACAAATCCACGATCTGGCTCACCACACTTTAACGCACACGTAGACACAGAATTTCGTAACTACAAACTTACATTTTCTCTCTGTAACTTTTGCCAAGCACAATCAACCAGAACTTTGTTGATTCAAACCAGTTTATTCACGACACATTTCAAACAATTGTATTCTTGGTGTTATTCATTCTTCACATGCAAACTTTGTTCTAACAATTATTTCGGAACATTTATCTCACAAGAGAACTTTCTTCAAACAGTTGATTACAATCAATCTACAGTTAAAAGGAAACAACTTCCTTCTCTTTAATCTACATTGTGAATACGATTTTATTTCATGCTTGTATTTTATTCCAATATATATTTGTTGGTTAACAAATTGGAGTTGATGTTATTATTTCTTGAATCCTGTATGTGGAAGAATCATTAATATAAATAGTAGTAGTACCTATATATTTGGTGTTCCTGCTACATTTAGTGAATTGACCCAATGCTATATTTGGTACATATGCTACAATGCCAGTAGAATATGGGTTTTTTATATAATATACAGCATACTTCTGTTATGAGGCATATTCTTTAATGCATAAATCTTTTGTATTATTAATGATTCAAGAAAACAACGAAACTCCAAATGTGAATCAACAAATATATATTGAAATAACATACATGAACGAAATATACAATAATTTGTATTCAATGTATAGATTAAGGGAAGAGAAGTTGCTTCCCTTTTACCGTATTTTGATTTATATTTGATTGTTCGAAAGAAAGTTCTCGTGACAGAAAAATGTTCAGGAATCAATATTAGAACAAAGGACTTTGTTAGAATAGATAACACAAGAATACGATTGATCAGAAAGTGTGTTGTGTTAGAGAAATCAACAGAGTCCTGGTTGATTGAATTTGGCTGAGTCACACAGAGATATGTATTACAAAATTCTGTGTTTGTGTGTGCGTTTGAAATGTTGTTAGTAAAGTCATAGGTTTGTGTTGACCGGCAAAATTTGCTGGACTCTACTGGTGGCTTATGAAACAGTCGCTTCTTTTAAAGCTACTGGTAGGCTCCAAGCGAAACCATGGGAAAAGTTAATTTTGCACTATGTGATTGATTAAAATTCAACCAATTGCTAAATTTGTACTAACGAAACAAGTAAGCAAGTTCAAAACTGAAAAATTCAAAGCAACGACTGCAATGGCTAAGTTGTCCTATAGAAAGGCAGTATCGATTTATTAGTTAATCGCAGACGAATAAAATGTGGGCGTGGAAAAACATAGTAGGCACTACATTTCCTTAAATCTACTACTGTCATATGAAAGTTTGCATTGGTAAAGAAATATTATCTTAAATCTATACATTACCTGTTCTTCTTGATTCTTTATTTTGTTCTGATTTTCCTAGAAATAGAATAAAAAAAAAAAACAAAATATGTCTTCTGAAAATAGCCAAATCTTTATCACTAACTAAATATTCAATAATACAATAAATAACTAAAAACAGTTGACACTTTATTTTCAATCGTGTAAACAAGTATCAGATAAGTATTATTGATACAGTGACAAACATTTGCGTTTTAAAATGCCTGTCTTTTGGGTTTTGGGTTTAATGTGTGTGTGTGTGTCATATCTCACCGGGTAAAATCGTTGGTTTCTTCCCTCGGGATAAAAAGCCTTCAAGGTTTCTTCCCTTGAAATAATAAAACTTCAAGAAAAATAACTCTAGGTTAAATATTCAGAGTTATTTCCCTTGAAAAATTACTGCAAAATAAATTTTATGGAATTTCTCGAAAAGGATTTTTCTTACTTTCTTTTTTCCCTTTTAATTAATAATGTATCAATTGAAAATATAATTTCCTATTATTATTATTTTTCCAAATTGTAAACAGTAAATTTGATTTTTATTTCTAGATATATAAATATAAGCAATTTCATTTTCAAAGTCAACTTTGATTTTCAAAAGTTTAAAATAAATGCATGTCAATCATTATCATGTGTCTTCTTAATTCCTCTTCTTTTATTGTTCTCTCTTCTTAAGTGTTGTTTTCCTTTTCCCCTACACTTGCGTCTTAGTGGTTTTATTGCCTTTCTTGGGGTAAAATGATTAAAAAATAAAAGAATACATGGGAATTTTTATTCATTTTGATCGCTATTTGTAATATAAAATATATTAAATTTTGGTAATAAATTACCCATAAAAGTGTTGATATACCATTAAACAAATCGATCAATCAATCAATCAAAATCTGCTTCAGAAATACATTTCATCCACTTCAAGAGCATTTTGTCATCAACACCAATTTTAATTGGATTGCATGATAGGTGTCCTTTGCATTCCCTTCTGCAGTTTCTGGCTGATACGATGCTGGTCTTATCTTTTGCAATTATCACTTGAACGAGATCCAATTGAGGGTGTCAAGGAAGAACCTGCTCTTACAGATGTTCTTTTTTGACATGGATTAAAATTCCATACATATTTGTCAACTCCAATATCCTTTCTGGTTAGTCCACACTGATTCTTGCATTATGGACATTTGAATCGATTGGTAATTATCCAATGATTTGCCAACCATTCCAAAGAAGACAATTTGTCAGTTTTGTCAACTGCTTTGTTCAAAGTCTTTAGTATCAACTTTTTATTTAAGATTTCATCATCAGTCAGCACTTGATTGACAAGAGATAATTTATCTGCAGAATTTCTATGCATTTTTAGAAAATCTAGCAACAATTTAAACATTTTTCAAAATTATGATTTGGTGGGTAAGCTATAATTGCCAGAGTTTTAGGGCTTGTATTTCTATGCATTGAACATTTTTGAGCCTCTAGATCAACATTACAAAAAAAATGAGGAGAATATTAAAACAAGAAATAATCTGAGAAGAAAATTGTATAATGCTTGGAACTATCATATTTTATTTAAAGGTTCTTGTTCTGTTGTTCATTGATATTCTTCTAAAATCATTAATAATAAACTTGTTTTCATAATTATTTATTTATACTTTTAGATTTTTTTCCCCTTCTATTTTTTTTTTCTTTTTTTTTACGGTTTTACATTTTACAAAGATAAAAAGCCAAATTCCTACTCTTTGTAAATGCATCATGATATTCACAGCCAGTTTTCCATCAAAACTTCCATTAAATGCCATGGCCCCAACAATTAACACTAAATTAATAAGCATATAATCAGTACACACACATACATACATATATATATATATTAATGCAGGTTTCATTAAATAATATAGACAAGCATTGTCTAATTAATTTTAAGTAAGTTCCTTTCAAATTGTCTGATAAGCTTAATAACATTATCATTGAAAGACGAAAGGAAATCACTATATTGATACATGTTTAAATCAAATCTAAGCTTTCGGCTTACATAAGCCATTATCAAAAATGACAATTACTTTTCAATATATCAATCAATATACAGACAAAACAATAATGATAGTCTGTTTTTGTTGCATAAAAAATTTCAAAGCAACGACTAACTCGTGTATACGTAAAGCGGAAATCATGTCACAGCTCAGGATGTCACACATGACCACGCGAGACTGAAAATAAGAAGTATTAAGTATGGGAAGCCGTTGGTATAAACCAATGGCTTCTGTTATCAATTATATATATATATATATATATATTTAGTGTATTGGAGCAGCAGATCATTATTTAAACATATATTGTTAAATGTAACAGACAATGTCTATTACCTTTCATCTTGAGCCATTCTAAATTTCGTATGGTTGCTTTCATTTTGAGTGAAAATAAAAACAAAAATTTTCCAACATTTGGATATTTTTTTTAGTAAGCTATTCCTTGATCTACACTTTTCGCTCACATGAGCCATCTTCAGAATGGTTATATGGACATTTAAACATAGATATTCACCATCAATTTGTTTAAATATATATATTATATTTACCATATATTTGTTTAAATATATATATTATGTCAACATAGAAGATTGCTATGCAACGATAACAGTCATGGACTAGCAAATGCAGGTCATAAATTCATGATACAGTCCTATGACATCGTACGACATGAGAGACTGAAATATTAAGAGAACCATATGTCTAGATGCAATGTAATGTGTTGTAACTAGTTTATTTTCACCCAAAATTAAAGCAACCATACAAAGTTTAGAACAGTTTATGATCAAACATAATAGACATTCATTGTCTGTTATATTTAAAAATATATTTTTAAATATTTAATATATATATATATATATAGTAGCAAGGGTTAGAACACAAAATATGATGACTGGAGAAAACATAGGAAAGAAGCAAAAAGAATAAAATAAAAATAAGTAATAGGATATATTTAAGGATAGGCGTGTGAGGAAGGAGGGTTTGGAAAATCTGTAACTCACAGGACAGATTGCGGGACAGAGGAAAGCAGTGTGTAACATACTTGATGAGCTTGAGCAAATGGATGATAGAACAGGGTTTGGGAAAAATAAGAAAAAGACAAAACTTATTAAGAGCTTCAAGAGACAGGAAGATGTGGAGGGCCATGATCACTTGCATCCTGAAGAGACATGACACATAAAAGATGAAATAATACATATTACATTATAGATGGTCCACATTTTTATAAATTTTTTAATAAAAGGATTTCTTTCCAAATTTATTTCCTTATAAAATGATAAATAATAAGTATCAAAGGGTAATCAGTGCAAATCTATTTATAATCTTGTAAATAAACATTGTGAAGGGAGTGTATAGAAAAACTTTCCTTTCAACATACCATTTTTTTGTCAGCTCCAAATGTTAAACTTTACCAAAATAGTTTGTGTGCATATATATATATATATATATATATATATATATAAATATAAAAGTGAACATAGAAGTCAACACTTAAAGGCGACAGTCCATTTCATGCTCTGATATTGAGCACTTTATCCCATGAATATAGCACATCTTAAGACTATATTTCTTCATATATATATATATATATATATATATATTGTCATCCACAGGCAGACTGTTTCGCATTCTCTCCCCAGAGTGCTCTAACAAAATAAATTTTTCAGAAGCATATATATTGTCATCCACAGACAGGCTATTTCACTGTATCACAGCTCATCAGTGTGGCTAGATGCCCAGTTGCCTCTAGCTAGGGTTGAAACCCAACTAAATTGGCGTCAGTCGGAGATTCTACCACTAAGTTATTAACGCACGGCAGGGATGAAGGGGAATTTAAGTGCATTTATTTTTAGATAAACACACAGTGACTGAGAGGACTTGATTCGCTTTACCGAAGGGTCTTGCATTATTAGCCATAATAGTCACTATGAGAACAAATAGGGTACAATTCCAATGTTCGTAACATTTAATTTAAAAGAGGGCTCAATACAATAAAAGACATCAAAATTGGTACCCAGTTGCAGTTGTGTTTCGATGCATATCATTGCATCTCATCGGGTGATTGTAAATTACTGATGAGTGAACGATTTATTTAGATTATGTAGCAATTTTGATGATTTTTGGTGTAATATCCTAAAATTATATATATATATATATATATATATATATATTTTATATACATAGTACTTAGTGGAAAGTGCTGTGACTGAGCTAACATATTCAGTTGTATGGATATCTGTGACAGAGCTAACATATTCAGTTGTATGGATATTAGTTTATAACCCTGAGTTTCATACTTTTGGAATAATCAGACAAACAGGTTTAATTTTGAAAAACAACATAATAAAAATAAAATGAATCCATTTGTCTGATGATCACAAAAGTGTGAAACCCAGGGTTACAAACTAATATCCATACAACTGTTAGCTCTATCAGTGTTATTGAGCACTTTCCAATAAGTAGTGCACAAATAAAATAATATAAATTATATGCGCAGTATTTTATATCGTAATTTTAAAAACTGTGGCTCCTACTGCTATTAACACATTGCTCTTTAACTATGAATTGAGCTCTCCTGGCTACTGACGTAGTTCATATAAAAATGATTAAAATTTCCCTTTCTCTCTCTGTGCAATGATAGACTAGAGGTAAGATCTCTGACTGATGCCAAATCAGTCGGGTTTCAATCCTGGCTTGAAGCAATTGGATGTCTAGCCACATTGAAGAGCTGTGATACAGCGAACAGTCTGTTTGTGGATGACTATATATATATTTTCCACTCCAAATCTTAAACTTGTACCAAAATAGTTTCATATATATATATATATATATGTGTATGTGTGTGTGTGTGTGTATATATATATATATATATATATATACACACACACACAAGGTGTAACAGCATAATTGTCTATCCAACACAATGTTTAATATCTAAAAAACCACTAAACTAATGTTCTTTTTTTTTTGCAGGTTTTCAGATAGGATATTAAACCATCTTGACACCATTTGTCATAAGAATCACTGAAAATGCCTTTGAGTTATTCAGCTAAAAAGAGAACAGGTTAAACTCATTTTGTGTCAGCCCCACTGTCCCTCAACTGAGCAATGGGGAAAGGAAAAATTTTTCAGGGCTTCAGTAATGGTACCAATATTCATACTCTGGCTTCCATCAAGAACCACCAAGAGAACAGTGAATAAGTTAAAAAAAGAGGGAACAGTAGAAAGGAAAAGTAGACCAGGAGGTCACAACAGGAAAAGGGATCATCATTTCAACTTAAAGCTAAAGAGATCAATTTGAAAAGATCCAACTCAATTCATAATACGTTTGACTGATGAGAGAAGAGTTTCAGCAATGACAACCCAAAGAACAGTGAAAAAATACTTGAAAATGAAAATGTACGTGGAACGTGTGAGGCAGCTTGTTACTCCAAGACAGAAAGTTAGAAGATTGGAGAGGGCAAAGATCATCTTGAATAAGTTGAAAAATGATCCTGGAATAATATATATTTGATCTTTATTTCAATCCTTCATGAGCTTCCGGCCCTTAGCTATGATTAATTAATTATGAACATGTCATTTTCATTTCAGAGCTTAATTTAACAAATGGACAATTTTGGTGTGACACCCAGTATATATATATATAATGTGAAAATCATGACCTAGGTTTCTACTGTTAGGTGTCATCAAGTAGTGGAGTAAATACATATATTCCCTAGGTGTCATCAGGTGGTGGTGGTGGTGGTGTGTGTATATATATATATATATATATATATATATATATGCACACACACACTTTTGACTTTATTCTTTTTTTTTACAGTAAGGTTCACCTGTACAAGGCCCGGGAGACACTCAAGTTAGAGGGTTACAATAAGGGGTAGTGTATATGGATAGGTGGGGAAGATAGAGGTTGACTCTAGACTTGAATAAGTTAAGATTGTAGTGATCAGATAAAAATCCTCTTGTGAGTATGTTCCATAGAGCAGTGGTTCATAGGATGAGGCTGTTTGAGTGGAACACTCTTGATGGAATACAGAGGGAATGAGGGTCGTTTGCTACTATGTAAGTGGCATTATCCTTGAGGACACATGGCACAGTAGATAAAGGCATTAGTTAGATCCAGAGACAGGACCCAAAGAGTGTGGGTTCAATACCTGGTTAATGATAGTGGATATAACTACAACATACAAACGTTTTGGTAAATATGGCAACAAAGATGAGGACGATAATCTGAACAATGTAAACAGTGTACATAATACCACATCTCAGAAATATAGACAGATACTGTATCATTTAAATTATGAATATATAATCATACTTATTATAAAACCCAGGTTGTGTGTCTGTTATATATTGGATCGGATTTCCTACATTTTTCAACTGATTTCAACAAAACTTCACAGGACTACATACAATTACCTTGTGGTGGTTCTGACAGTGCCAAAAACTGGAAAAACACAATTGTTTTTGCACAAAATCAATTTGAAAACATAATTAAGAGGCATCATGAGAATGAAAGGGGTACAACTCAAATCAAGTTATACTTATTATAAAACCCAGGTTGTTTGTGTGTGCGTGTGTGTGTGTTCGTTCATATATGGGATCGGATTTCCTACATTTTTCAACTGATTTCAACAAAACTTCACTTTTTTTTTGGCAGGTAGTGTTTCTTATTGTCTTGCACACATTTTTCTTTATTTTTACATTCAGAATACTTTAAAAATTCCATTTACATGGCAATTGTTTATAATGAAATTCTATTCAATCGATAGACTCATAACGATTGGGTTTGACCAATTCGTAAAAAAAACAAAACAAAACAAAAAAAAAACTAATTAAGACATGCGTGTCCGTCAACCTTAAACAATAATCTTTGTCAATTTTATTTTTCAGTCTTTATGATGGTCGATACTTGATCTATCTCATACTGTTACATCCCCGGGCAATGCCGGGCTCTACTGCTAGTTTAAAATAAAATTATAAAAGTTTTATATATATATATATATGAAACATGGTTAGAACTGTGTAGCAAAAAAAAAAAACATATTTTAAATGAATTAATTTATAATATATATATATAATGTAATTAAAATCAAAGATGGTCCATGTGTGCTTTTTATAATATGTAGATTTGATAGGCCAATTAATAAAATTTGAGGCATAAAAAGGCAACAAAATGGTATATTAGCCTTTTGACAAGATTGAAGCACGAAGAGAAAGATTTTAAAGTCGGAATTTTCTGACGAGCCTCTGTCCTTTTTCAACAGGATGAGTAATTAATAAACAATGAAGTGGGGCGTACTCTTCTGAGGAATATTTTTGGTTAGAGGCCTCCATGGGTATATATATATATATATATGTTTCATTCCTTACCAGAATTTTCTGTTATTATGTATGTTAATGTTTAAATAAAAGTTTTGATGTATTTGTTTAATAAATTGACTGTGATATATGAGAGATGACATAAACAATATCTTAATAGTGAACCAAAAACAGCTGGTTTCTTTATTAGCAAAGCATATTAGCCTACTGGCATTTTTAACGGCTAGCAATTTGAATTCAATATTGCATTTTTCAGATCACTTCAAGACAAATAGAAGCCTTACCCAACTCCAGATAAAAAAAAGAAAGAAAAAAGAAGTAACCAATCAATGCCATCCTTACATGAAGCATTTCCCTCAATTGATTGTTTTCCTGCCTCAGAATCAAAATCTGCCGACGGAGAGAGGTATTTCTTCCCATTTTTGGGGTGGCATTACCAGCTGAGGAAAGAAATGAAAAGATTTCCATTGAGTTTGGTGTTCAGTAAAAATGATTCAAAGCAACATCCATAACTTTACAAAGTTATCTCATACATAGGTTATTACACTTTTAGCAAGACAGAATGTAAAAAAAACCCAACCCCACCAAAACTCAACAAAAGAAAAGAATATTAGGATCCATAAAAGTCTCTCATTTTATTTTGATTATATATTTACACTTCTAAAGCCTGTGCTATGATACTCATCATTCTACTGCTCATGTGGTTTATATATTCATTTTATTTTTCACCTCTTAGAATTGGTACACTAATTACTTTTCATTTCCTAGTATATAACAAAAATAAAGATGGTATCTATACACACAAAGTTGCCAAACTATTTCTTTTAAATATCTTAATAGCATATATATATATATATATATATATATATATTTATTATAGACATTATGGACATAGGAATCAACACAGCATGGTGACTGTCAATTCCATACTTTAATGCAATATTTGTCTGAAAATTGCACTAAGGATGGATTACGTTCACAAAGAATTTTTTTTTCCTTGAGGAAAATATTTTTGATCAATTTTCAACAGCTACTAAGAAATTGATTTGTAGACTTGAAATGATTGAAACAAAAATAAACATGGTATGTTTAAATTATATAACCAAATCTGTTTGAATATGTATGTATGTATAGACATATGCACAAACAAACACAGAGTATAGGCCCAAAGCTTGGGGTTACTCCCTGCAATTCTGAAGTCATCATATATTCAATGATGAGAATAACAAAATTAATCCATAACTGCATAACATTTGTTTAAAATTTTAGCTCTTTTTGCCTCATCTACCTAGTTTATTAATTAAACCAAAGGTATGAAACTTACTAATTGTTAATGCCAGTAGTTAAAAAACTTTGTGTGTATATGTATATATATATATATATATATATATATATATATATATATATAATCTCAGAAGTTAGGAAGGCAATAAATGACATCACTTACAATGTTGCAGCTTCATAGGAAGTTAAAATTAAGGTTTTTTTACTACAAAAATTAGAATTGTGTTTTTTAATGTCCTAACATGAATCTTATTAATATTTTACAGATATATATATATATACACACACACACATACATATATATGTATACATACATATATATGTATATAAACATATATCTATATATGTGTACATACACATATATATGCATACATACATATATATATATATATATATAGACACACATATATATATATATATGTACATATGCACACACATATATATGTACACACACACATATAGATATATATGTACAAATGCACACACACACATATATACATGCACACACACTCATATATGTATGTACACACACACATATATATATGCACACACACAAAATCCATTCTTCCTAATTGTACCAGTAAAGAACCTGTAATTTTGTTTGAGAAACATGACTTCATTTTTATTTCTCAAAAAAAATCTCATTAAGTTTCCTTGATAATAATCAACCCCAAATACACCCACACCTTTAAGACAAAAATCTTACAAAAGCTTATACAGAATGGCAATGGTTATCAACAAAAAAAAAAAAAATAGATTGACTAACATATAAAGGAGAATCCATGATCATAGCTGATCAATTGTGTTTCATCCAAATGCTGGGAGGCCTGCAAAAGAAAAATAATTCTTGTATTAGTCTAAATTTCTTTTCATGAAAGAAATATTTGAGAACAATCATCAGAGATGCATGGCTACCCAATAAAATTGCTTTGTATCTGAAATCTCATTCTTAAAAAAATTTTTGACTGTCTTTGAGAACACCTAGTGTCCCAAATGAATTAAAAAAAAAATATTTAAATTTTTATTGTAATAAACATTAAACATTTCTAGGATCAAGAGTTATTATTTACATTCAAACTAATGTCCTCATCTTCATTGTTATTATCCCAGTATTTGAAAACTTCATCCTTTTAACCACCTGACACTCCTATACAGATGTAGGGACATATAGCTAGTTCCACCAGGCTTATCAATCAAGACCAGTTAATTCCAGGAACAGACACCTGAAGAAGAGTACAACAGCTGAAACGTTGTGACAATAACGAAAGATGAGGACATTATTCCAAATATGAATAATGTAAATAAATACATTTTTTGTTTGTTTTAAAAGAATTTCTCAGCTTTTTATGTTCAAGAATTTTTCAGGCAACTGAATTCTCCTTTTTATAGTTCTTTTTACCACAAGATTTCAGATGATCAATTTTACAGCCTTCTTCAAATATAAAGTCCTTTAAGTAAGAAAATGAAAATGTTAACCAATAAACCAACATGTTGTTGCATTCTCAGCAATGTGAGCCACAGAAACAGTTACCTATATAACAGAGGTGGTTCAAATTAGAAAAAACTGTGAAAATTACTTATTTGGTTGCAGCAAAGTGGGCAGTTTTATTTTTCACTTCTTTTTGAGAAGATTAACATTGCACTCAATGGAAAAACTGCAGTTTAATGTGAAAGGTATTACCACCAAAAATTACATCTATAGCTTTTACCAATTTTTGAGCATTTAGTTTTAAAGATCATCCAAAAGCTGTACAGAAATATCCAATTTCTGCAGGTTTTTGCTTGCAAACAGACTAAATAAATCCAAATAAAGTTGATATATTTTGGATTAGATTCATTGAATGTAAAATATATTAAAACTGAAATTCTAATTATCAATCACCACAAGCAAAATATGCAATTTTTTTTTTTTTTACTTTATTTAATAAGTAAAAATTGGTAAAAAAATTGGAAAGATTACCAAAAAAAAAGGCTACTCAATAAATAAGATTTGTTAAATCATAATAAATAAAAACAAAATATAGATAAAAATGTATATAACACCATAATACAGATGGGTACAAATTATGAGACAAAATGTTTTAAATTTTCATTGTTTATTGAAAATCACGCTAAGGCTACAGCACTGTCTAATATAGTGATTTTCCAAGCATAGCTTTGACAAGGCCAAAAGTATGGGGCACCCAGTGAGGATCGAACTCGCTACTCAGTCATAATTGTTGTAGCGAGACAAGCTTGTTAACCATTACATTGCCTAGGGGTGCTCAACTGCGGCCATATATAGGCAGAAGCTGGCCAGTTTTCACTTTCCAGTCTCGATAGTGATTTTCCAAGCGTAGCTTAGATGTGGCACAAGGCCAAAAGTATGGGGCACCCAGTGAGGATCAAACCTGCTACTCAGTCATAATTGATAATGATTTGGAAAAAGATCTTTTGTGCCAGAGTAAGTGGAGGGTTAGGGTTCTTGATTCAAATTCTTAAGCGTTTCTAGTTTCTTTGAACTGTTTTTACTCAAATTAAGGAGTGACCAATACTGGCAACTGCTAGTCGAAATATTTCCATAAAAATAAATCATTCGTTGGAACTACAACTTTTCTAGAGAATGGTTTGCTTATGTGCTTCCTCAGCTACTCTTCTATGTTAATCATTGTGACATGCAAGTGACAAGATATGTGACAATAGAACAGTTTTTATTTTAATCTTTTCCACACAAACAAAGTAATTAAAACCACTAAGCTTCAAGGGTTTATTGAGGATGAAGGAAACTGAGAAGACAATAAAAGAACAGGTTTCAAGGAGACAGAAGATAAAAATTTACATGGCATTTAAATTTTTGAAGATAACAGTTAACAGGAATGCTGGAAAAGGGTTCCACAGGTGAGAAGTGTGGGAGAAGAAACTGTTAGCATAGAACTTACAGTTTCAACAAGTTCACAGGGAAAAGTGAATTCAAGTATACGAGTACAAAGTGAATGTAAAAAAAACCTCAACTAGAATTTGAAATTTGTACACTGATTTTGTTTTCTAAGCTGGTCATCATTACACCATCAACTCACACGCAGACATTGTATCATGGTATTCCAAAGATCAATAGAAAAAATTCTTTTCCTCCTTGGAAAGAGAATTGGTTAGCCAAGAACATGTCAAGCCCTTTACTGAACTGTCAGCAAATGTCATCCACAATTGTGTGTGTTCAAAGGTGTCTAGCCAAAGTTGAATTGTGAAAGGAAAGTCTTGGCAGTTTGAATGTCAGTTACAGTCCACAGGCTGGGTTTGATTCCTTGAAATGGGAGAAATATCTCCATGTAGACAATTGCATTGCCACGTTTAAATGAAATCTGCTAAATAAAATTTAGTTAATTTTATTTTAAGTTTGTGTTCTTTGGCCAAAAAAATTGCCAATGTTTGGTTTAACTTCTTTCTAAAAAGTCAATATAAATGCCAAGTAACTTTAGAACCTGTAGGCACCCATCTTTGTCTATGTGCCATGTCCTTTCAGGCCATTAACAATCATGACTCTCCACAACTTCCTTTGTAGCTCTGAGTAACATTTGTTTTTTAAGCATCCCTTCCACCCACTTACACTATTTCACACAAGTTCATCAGCTGTTCCATTTACCTTCAAAATGTCTTGTGAGTGCCAAATTTTCCATGCCTTCAATATCATCCAAGAAATTCCTATCTTTTTTTTGTTTCTGTGTATAAGATACTTTTTGTTTCCATTTTCCTTAAGACTTCCTCATTGCTTACATGCTCTATCCATTGCATTTTCAGTATCCTTCTGTATAACCATATTATTGTTGCCTCAAGTCTTCTCTTCATCTATGAGGAAATTGTCCATCATTCACTGACATATAGGAGAATTGATATTATATAGCAGTTCAGCACTCTTTGTTTCAAATTATATTTTCCTGTTTCTTAAGCATCTTTCATCTTTCCAATGTACCTTTGAATTTCTGTCTCATATTTTGTGTCATCTGTTAAAATACTTCCCGGATATTCAAACTTCTGGACTTGTTTGATTTTGAAATCTCCGATTCATAATTTGTAACTTGTGCTGCATTGAATTTTATATCAAATTTGCTTACATACTGTAGAAGGCAAAAAATGGACACACCCATAAAAAGTCAACTTTTGTATTTTTACCAAGACAACTGAATAATAGAATTCATTTATTAATACAGGTGTACATATGTACATTATACAAGTCACAAAATGATTTAGTATTTTGTTGGGTAACATTTTGCTTTAATAAAGACCTTAATTCTTTGTAGCATGCTATAGACTAAATTCTTTAGTAAGTCAACATCGTTCGCCAGATTTTTCCAGCATTCCTTTAATTTGCAAAAAAACTCATCTTCTGCGTTAACTTTCCTATTACAGATACGCATGTCCATTATCACCCAAAGGTTTTCAATTGGGTTAAAGTCAGGACTGTGACTAGGCCACTGGAAGAATTGCAATTTACCCCTATCATGCCTAGATAACATTTATTCTTTAAGGCATTATTTATTCAATAGCATGCTATGAAGAATTAAGGCCATTATTAAAGCAAAGGTTTACCTAACAAAATATTAAATCATTTTTGACTTGTATAATGTACATATATACACCTGTATTAATACCCTGTATTAATAAACAAATTTTATTACTCACTTGTCTTGGTAAAATGTTTGACCATACCTGACTTCACTGAAAATGTAGATCCACAAACTTCACAAGAATAAGGTTTCTCTCCAGTGTGTGTATGCATATGTTGGACCAAATTTGACTTCGATGAAAATGCAAATCCACAAACTTCACAAGAAAATGGTTTCTCTCCAGTTAATAAATAAATTTTATTACTCACTTGTCTTGGTAAAATACAAAAATCGACTTTCTATTTTTGACTTTTGGGTGCATCCATTTTTTTTGCCTTTTACTGTAGTTCATGAGCCAGTTCAAGTAAGCAGATTCTTATATGTTATATATTATTTCATAATCATTAACTACTTTTCTTACTGCATATGTTATGTTGTGACCAAGTATCTAAGTTGATGGTATTTCAAAAGTTAGCTAGATTTGTCCCATATATTTCTGAACAACAGTGTATAGGTGTGGTTTGGTTTGTTTTGTCGCACATCAACCTCAATGGGTCATTTAATGCCGACAATTTTTTTTTTCCTAGTAATACTTTCGTTTTGTCAAAAGTCTATTTCTGTCTATTTCTTAAAAAATGTACAGCTGGTAATACTATTTTTCCAAAACGTACAGCTAGTAATATCATTTTTCCAAAATGTATAGCTGATGATAATATTTCTTCAAAAACGTATAGCTGGTAATATTATTTTTTTCAAAAACGTATAGCTGGTAATATTATTTTTTCCAAAAACGTATAGCTGGTAATATTATTCTTTCAAAAAAAACGTATAGCTGGTAATATTTTTTCAAAAACGTACAGCTTGCAACATATTTTTCCAAAAACGTATTATCAGAGGCCTTGTTGGACACGGATGTAGTTTATCGTCATACCCAGGATGGATATTATATTATCCAGTTTTTCGCTCTCTCACAAACCCATTTTCTACTGTTCTCTCTGGAAGCTGCTTTGATTCTCATAGTAACTAGGTTTTCATGAGATGAAGTTGCTAGCCCCATGCCCAACCAGCTTTAAATTCAAAATTGTCTCTCTCCTAGACTGGTTGCCAACCAAGACTAGAAATTCCAGTTTGCTCTATCGTTTAGTACATAGTCTGGCTGAAGTAGAGATGCAGTCATACATTTTCACAGGATATTTGTGCAAAAGTGAATTCAACAAAATCACCCTGTTGGCTGGAGCTTAAGAATACACCTTTGCAGAGTGGTAAGACCCCCCTCCCCCGGTCTGAAATGAGACATTCTGAGTAAGATGATGAATTACATCTGACAGCAAGGCCTCTGATCAGGAGGTTTTGAGGAATCTGAAACTACCTCTTAATTGCTGGTGTCCCCAGGTCTACCATGACTTTGGGTGGCAGCACCTGTTAGAGTCCCAGCTATGGGCAAATAGTTAACCCCAAACTGGGGTTCATAATGCTATGAAAGTGTAAAAATAGGTTTTAATACAGCAATATATTTTTGAAGAAAAAATTATTACCAGCAATACATTTTTGAGGAAAAATATTATCAGCATTATATCTTTAAAAAAAAATTACCAGCAATACATTCTTGAAAAAAAAAAAATATTACCAGCAATACATTTTTGAAAAAAAAAAATTTTACCAGCAATACATTTTTGGAAAACAATATTACCAGCAATACATCTTTGGAAAACAATATTATTAGCGGTACATATTTGAAAAAAAAAATATTACTAGCAATACATTTTTGGAAAAAAAATATTACCAGCAGTACATTTTTGAAAAAAAAAAAAAAAATATTGCCAGCATTACATTTTTGAAAAACAATATTATTAGCGGTACATATTTGAAAAAAAAACATTACCTGCTATAAAATTCTTGAGGTATATATGCTTTAAAACAAAGCAAATCAAACAACAAAGTCAACTGGAATAAAAATATCAGTTTGCTAATTTCTCATTTGGAGCAGCTAACCTTTACCCCACCCAGCTTTTAGTATATAATGTTTCATGCAGTGGAGGGAAAATTAAACTTAAATTAAATTTAGAATGACTACAAGATTACTTCTGTCTGCAATCCAGAACTTAGGTTTATGGCAACATTATGTAGAAATACTGGCTCCTGTATGATCACTAAAGTAATATCAAACCCAGTCAGGACCTTGATGAGTGCCCGCTCAGGAATATCAGGAGCTGTAAGCATGGATGAGTGGATGGCGTAATGGATAATGGCTCAGAATTGTTAATCAGAGAATCGAGTTCCAATTCTCATTGTAATCATTATATTCACTTATAACATTTTAAAAAATTTTTGCAACATCTTGTGCTTATGGCAACATCACATTAAAACACTGAAGTTAAGCAACATTGAGCCTGATCTGTTCCTAGTTGGGTGACTACTTGGGAATTGATGGTAATAATTATGTTGATATTTCAATGTTTATTTCATTCACCTTCAGAACATTATTAATAGATACAGCTACAGATGTACATACAAACGTCAGTATTCAGTTAAAACTAATTTGGTTTAATTCAAAAGGAAAAATAATCATTTTTCCTTCATTTTACTTCCAAACTCACAAAAAGTTCACAATGAAATATTTGGCCAAATTCACCCGATAGCCATACAATAAAATGATCAACTTTAATTGATGAAACTACACATACTTCACTTTAAATACACAAAAATATCAAAATCAATGCAAACAGTCAGCATATAAAATGTACAGCAGAGTTCCCTGCCAAAGCTATAAAATGATTTGCCCTAAAGTTGTCTTCTATTCAATCTGAATTTAATAATTTCAAGACCTAATAAAAATTTAAGTTTTCTATTAGAGCATCTTATCTGTAGTTTTTGTAATTGAAGTGATGAGTCAGAAAAAAAATGGCTGGCACACAGCATTATAATAAATTGCTACTCACGTTGATTATATCATCTTCCTTTTTTTGTTGGTCAGACTTGTTTTGAACATCTGATTTAGACAAGGAAGATAAACGACTCCGATGTTCTTCAAGAGACAATCCCAGGAAACTTGCTTCATTGCCATCCATATCATCACTGGGAAAAACCTGGATTGATCCAGAAAACATTTGAAAGACATGGGTAAACTTTCTGGGATGAGGAATTATTTACATTATTTACACCCAAACTATTATCATTATTTACATTATTCGGACTATTGTCCTCATCTTTGTCACCATATTTATTACAACGTTTCAGCCATTGTATGCTCCAGCCTTCTTCAGGAGATAACTGATAACTGACATCCATTAGACATGGCATGTGGAACTAGAACAGTCCACGCCAGTGAGCGAAATAAAGCGTTCAGTTCAACATTCCAACCACCTGAAGAAGGCCAGAGCATACAGCAGCCAAAACGTTGTAATAAATATGGCGACAGAGATGAGGACAATAGTCCGAATAATGTAAATAATGTACATAATACCTCATCTCAGAAATATAGACAGATATTATCATTATCTTTATTGTTATTATCACAACATTTTGTCTGTTGTGGCCTACAGCCACCTCCTTTTCAATCCAAGCCACTTTAGATAAATCCAAACTGGACCCATTATTTAATCAATGGAGGTTTCATCTAGTTTTTTAGTACTGCTCGGTCTGTTTTCAACTAAGGAGATATCTTTAGACAAGGTTAGTGGAACACTCTGCCTCTGTAGATTAAATAAAGGGTTCAGTTTATAATTCCCTGAAGTTTACTCAGATCAAAAAGCTCCTGATGAAGGCTAGAAGGCCAACAGCTGAAACATTGTGATAATAACAAAGATATAAGTAATATAAATACAGGGTTAAAAATTATAATTATTAATTTTTGGGATTAGTATTTAATTTTGGAATATCATATTTTCCAGCTTGGAAGACGCACCCTAATATCAGTAATTTCTAAGAAAAAAAAATCATTCTTATATAACAACACATTCACCAAGTGTCCCTCATATACTGGTGACATGTATTGTTTGCATTAATCACTCATCTGATTTTGTTTGTATAGGAATGATATACTAGTCAAAAGCAGAGAGGCTCCTACTGCTGCTAGTAAACAGAGCATGTTTAAGTTTGTGGCTCAGCTTCAGGAAGGTTTATAGTCTTGGAAATATTTGTAACAGCTAAGAACTGAGGTTACATTATAGTGATCATCATCACACACACACATACGCTTATACAAATTCATATTTTCAACAGCTTTCATTCATTGGACAGGAAGCAATGCTGCTATCTTATGTGACAATTTTGAAATCACTATATTTTCATATAGTAGATTTTGTGCACTTTTGGGAGAATCAGCTCCCAGAAGTCTCCCCAAAGCTCATGCACTGATTGGTCAGTATTGACCAATCAGATTCTCTACTCGTGGAGAATGATTCTTCCCGCGCAGCACTCCTGATTCAATGATGACCTATAAAAGCAAGAGAAAAGAGGAGATGCATGAGTGAGATTTTAGCTGCCAGTTGAAGTTATGCGCCCATCTTCTCACTCAACTCTCAAACTGCATATTCCTTCACACTTACATATTTTTCCTCTTGCACAGCAGAACTGTTTAAAAACATTTATAACAAACTAATAACTCTTTTCTTTCAGGGAACTTTGATAGACTTTGATAGTCAAAGAGAGACAACTCTTGTCTTACTCATTGCATGCTTTTTCGTACACATTCTTTATTGCATGCACTGTTGAATACAATTTTTATATATAGTGATACCTTTGCCTTGTTCTTTTCTTCACATCAGTTTGGCTTCATAAACAAAAATTAAATAAATGTGGTGGAAGTCTGCTACAACATTATATAAAAGGCTGAATTAGATAGCTAGATTATAGTGTAATGACTCAGCATATAAATCCACATCCCTATTAGTCAAGCCAACTAGGTGACCGGCCAACCTTACTTGTTATTTGGTAAAGTTCATTGTGATGTTACACTAGTCTACAGGATTTGATGAAGAACTGTCTTCTTTAAAACATAAAGGATTTATTCATTTGAATCCATTTTTAAACACAGATCTGAAAAAATGGTTGCATGTAGATGATAGTTTAGAACAAGACAGCACCAAATGCAGCATACAAGTCTGGCACATGAGGGATTTTCAAAAAAGTAAAATTTTTGTAATTATTAGAATAAATTTAGTAGTTATGATGCTAGGAAAATTGGTTTATTGTATTGTGCTTGATTATTTTTCATACCAGAATCTATCTTTCACATTTATAAGTCTTCCATTCATCCATGCATTGAATATTGCTGACACATTTGGTCTGGTGCTTCTTTGTATTTAAGAGATTCTTGATAAAATGCAAAGAAGAATCTGCAATATTATCCATCCTGACCTGGCATCATGGCTTCTGTCACTTTCCTACTGCCATAATGAGCTTACCTTTTTGGTATCTTGACTTTACGAATGTAAGTGCAGTACTAGATTGGCAACTAGGTCTCATCCTCTTACAGTTGAAATGGTTAGATGTAACTAAGTTCTATTCTAACATTTTGTTTTCTTGATTTTGGAACTCTCCAGCTTCTTGCTTTCCAGTCAACTTTGATTAAAATGTCAATCATTATCTTTTGTCTTCATAATTCCTGTTCTTTTATTGTTTTCTTTTCTTAATAATGTTCTTTCTCTCATATTTTTTCACTAAATAACCCCCTTGTGTCTTAGTGGCTTTGTTGCCTTGCTTAGAATCAAATGATTAAAAATGAATCACAACTTTATTCAACCAATATTTTACTCTCTGAACACTCTAAAAAGTTAGAATTTTCTCATCCCCCTTCTCTTTATACAGCTGTGTCTATCTCAATCACATGGAAAATCTCACATGTCTACCTCACTCACAAGGAAAATCTCACATCTATTTCACTCACATGGAAATTTGTATTCTTTGGTTTCAACCAGACTAGGACTGAAACAATTTCAAGTTTTTTATTTGTGAAGAAACCATTTTGAAATTCTCATATTAATAATGGAAATGAGTACAGAGAACAGCCATTCTTCTATCCTCTGCTTGAAAAAAAAAATGTGACAGGGAAGTTGAGAAAATACAACTTTATAAAAGTGCCTCCAGAAACGATGATGATGTTGTTAGTTATTAGGGCTGAGTCGGGTGGCACAAGACTAAAAATGTCATCATCTTTTCCTATGCTGCTCTGATAGTAGGTCAGGTCAGGTAAGGTCATCAGCATCCAACATTTGATTTTATACAATTAAGTCTTTTGTTGGTGGCCATGCTTTGTATGATAGGACACACCAAGGTTCAGCTCAGCCTGTCACTGATATGTAACACATTGGTAGAAAATCAGAAAGGAAATATAATGATTATATATATATATATATATATATAAATAAAAAGAAAGAACAGTAAGATATATAATCCTATCATCCGGTGTTCTTATAAATATTTTTAGTTTTACAAAATAGTGCTCGATGTAAATTTACAGAGCATTAATATTATAAATTAATTGATTTAAAATATGTTTTTTCCGCTACACAGTTCTAACCATGTTTCAAAAATGGAAGCTAAAAGCCCTGAATTTAATTTTGTAATTAAATTAAAGACATTAGTTCCATTTCATCCTCAAGCAAATTTTGGAGTAACTTTTAAAATCACTGGGTTTTAAATACACAGCTAAAACAAAATTCATGTTTCCAAGGTTACAGATAAATCTATTTTTCTAGACAGGGGTGTCTAGGTGTTCAATATGTCTATATTTTAATGTATCAGTTATTGTTACTTTTAGTAGTGGGTAGGGGTGTATTTTTCAATATATATATATATATATATATATATATATATACACACATTTGGACAATTTCTACACACTCTGCATCCAGAAAAGAAAACACTTGTTCAAACACAAGAAAAATTAAATAAAAAGCTTAATCGCAGTACCTTGTCTGTCATCTTTAATGAAACATGTTTTATGCCACACCTGTTAATTTTTTAAATTGACCCAAAAAGTAATGTTATAAAATAAAATAAGACATATCTCAGCTGATTTACAAGCAAATAAACTAACATACTCAAGAGTGAGAGCCGGATGTGAATGGGACAGCGCCCCTTCACAAAATGACCATTATCTTCGTTTATGCATGTTCCCGACGCATGAGTTCCGGTTGAAAAATAAAATAATATTTTAAAGTGTTTCTATTTTTCAACCAATAAAAATGCTTCCCTCCTAATTATACTCACGTTGTTTTTTGAGCCTGTTAAGCCATAAAAAAAATGCCATAAAATGGGTCACACGGAAGTACAAAGGCAGTCAACAGGAGGCCAGGGAAGAGACCTGTCACGGTCAGGCTGAGCGGTCAGCAGCAGTAGCGCCATGCCAACCCGCAAGAACTACTATGAGAGATCAACCCAGGTCAGCAGTCGGCTTATGAACTATACCACAAGGTATCTGTCCCAAAACCACATGTTCCTATTGAAATAAATCTCGTAAATCTATTTCTGCTGTTGTCATATTTCTTTCTTGCAACCATACGCTTGTCTATAACAGTAATCACTTTGTACTTTAAATAAGAGAAAATTATAAGACATGTTTAAAAAAAAAAAAAAAAACATGATTTTTTATAATAAATTTTATTATGACAAAAAGAAAAAAAAATTTTATGATTAAATTTGGGTCTCAACAAAATATCCTTCCTTTAGCCTTCATTATTGCAGCACAAATTTTTGGCATTCATTGCAAAAGTTTCTCAAAATATAATTGATTCCATTCTTTTTTCAAGGACTCTAAGAGCTCTTTTTCATTTTTGGATAGAAAGGTTTCACTTTTCTGTCAAGTTCATCCCATGCTAATTCTTGAATTGACATCAAACTTTTGAACTGCAGTGTATATAAGGAAACGTCTGTCTACCTGTAATCTACATATCAAGAATTATCGTCTTCCTAATAGCTTCATCAGAGTGAAGACCACTGGCTAAGGTAGCTAATGACACATTTCCAGGAACACCGACAAAAGGATTGTCTTTCATTCAAACACGCTCTGTAGTCAAAGGTGTTAAAAAAAAAATGTTTGTTGGATATACAGCTTTAATATTTAATTCCTTAAATTTTTCAGATC